TGGCCAAGACCAAAGAACTGTCAAAGGACACCAGAAACAAAATTGTAGACCTGCACCAGGCTGGGAAGACTGAATCTGCAATAGGTAAGCAGCTTGGTTTGAAGAAATAAACTGTGGGAGCAATTATTAGGAAATGGAAGACATACAAGACCACTGATAATCTCCCTCGATCTGGGACTCCACGCAAGATCTCACCCGTGGGGTCAAAATGATCACAAGTGAGCAAAACGGTGAGCAAAAATCCCAGAACCACACGGGGGGACCTAGTGAATGACCTGCAGAGAGCTGGGACCAAAGTAACAAAGCCTACCATCAGTAACACACTACGCTGCCAGGGACTCAAATCCTGCAGTGCCAGACGTGTCCCCCTGCTTAAGCCAGTACATGTCCAGGCCCGTCTGAAGTTTGCTAGAGTGCATTTGGATGATCCAGAAGAGGATTGGGAGAATGTCATATGGTCAGATGAAACCAAAATAGAACTTTTTGGTAAAAACTCAACTCGTCGTGTTTGGAGGACAAAGAATGCTGAGTTGCATCCAAAGAACACCATACCTCCTGTGAAGCATGGGGGTGGAAACATCATGCTTTGGGGCTGTTTTTCTGCAAAGGGACCAGGACGACTGATCCGTGTAAAGGAAAGAATTAATGGGGCCATGTATCGTGAGATTTTGAGTGAAAACCTCCTTCCATCAGCAAGGGCATTGAAGATGAAACGTGGCTGGGTCTTTCAGCATGACAATGATCCCAAACACACCGCCCGGGCAACGAAGGAGTGGCTTCGTAAGAAGCATTTCAAGGTCCTGGAGTGGCCTAGCCAGTCTCCAGATCTCAACCCCATAGAAAATCTTTGGAGGGAGTTGAAAGTCCGTGTTGCTCAGCGACAGCCCCAAAACATCACTGCTCTAGAGGAGATCTGCATGGAGGAATGGGCCAAAATACCAGCAACAGTGTGTGAAAACCTTGTGAAGACTTACAGAAAACGTTTGACCTGCGTCATTGCCAACAAAGGGTATATAACAAAGTATTGAGAAACTTTTGTTATTGACCAAATACTTATTTTCCACCATAATTTGCAAATAAATTCATTAAAAATCCTACAATGTGATTTTCTGGATTTTTCTTTCTCATTTTGTCTGTCATAGTTGACGTGTACCTATGATGAAAATTACAGGCCTCTCATCTTTTTAAGTGGGAGAACTTGCACAATTGGTGGCTGACTAAATACTTCCCCCCCCCCACTGTATACACACATACACAGCATTCGGAAAGTATTTTCATCATAGGTACATTTTTTTCATAGGTACACGTCAACTATGACAGACAAATTGAGAAAAAAATATCCAGAAAATCACATTGTAGGATTTTTAATGAATTTATTTGCAAATTATGGTGGAAAATAAGTATTTGGTCACCTACAAACAAGCAAGATTTCTGGCTCTCACAGACCTGTAACTTCTTCTTTAAGAGGCTCCTCTGTCCTCCACTCGTTACCTGTATTAATGGCACCTGTTTGAACTTGTTATCAGTATAAAAGACACCTGTCCACAACCTCAAACAGTCACACTCCAAACTCCACTATGGCCAAGACCAAAGAACTGTCAAAGGACACCAGAAACAAAATTGTAGACCTGCACCAGGCTGGGAAGACTGAATCTGCAATAGGTAAGCAGCTTGGTTTGAAGAAATAAACTGTGGGAGCAATTATTAGGAAATGGAAGACATACAAGACCACTGATAATCTCCCTCGATCTGGGACTCCACGCAAGATCTCACCCGTGGGGTCAAAATGATCACAAGTGAGCAAAACGGTGAGCAAAAATCCCAGAACCACACGGGGGGACCTAGTGAATGACCTGCAGAGAGCTGGGACCAAAGTAACAAAGCCTACCATCAGTAACACACTACGCTGCCAGGGACTCAAATCCTGCAGTGCCAGACGTGTCCCCCTGCTTAAGCCAGTACATGTCCAGGCCCGTCTGAAGTTTGCTAGAGTGCATTTGGATGATCCAGAAGAGGATTGGGAGAATGTCATATGGTCAGATGAAACCAAAATAGAACTTTTTGGTAAAAACTCAACTCGTCGTGTTTGGAGGACAAAGAATGCTGAGTTGCATCCAAAGAACACCATACCTCCTGTGAAGCATGGGGGTGGAAACATCATGCTTTGGGGCTGTTTTTCTGCAAAGGGACCAGGACGACTGATCCGTGTAAAGGAAAGAATTAATGGGGCCATGTATCGTGAGATTTTGAGTGAAAACCTCCTTCCATCAGCAAGGGCATTGAAGATGAAACGTGGCTGGGTCTTTCAGCATGACAATGATCCCAAACACACCGCCCGGGCAACGAAGGAGTGGCTTCGTAAGAAGCATTTCAAGGTCCTGGAGTGGCCTAGCCAGTCTCCAGATCTCAACCCCATAGAAAATCTTTGGAGGGAGTTGAAAGTCCGTGTTGCTCAGCGACAGCCCCAAAACATCACTGCTCTAGAGGAGATCTGCATGGAGGAATGGGCCAAAATACCAGCAACAGTGTGTGAAAACCTTGTGAAGACTTACAGAAAACGTTTGACCTGCGTCATTGCCAACAAAGGGTATATAACAAAGTATTGAGAAACTTTTGTTATTGACCAAATACTTATTTTCCACCATAATTTGCAAATAAATTCATTAAAAATCCTACAATGTGATTTTCTGGATTTTTCTTTCTCATTTTGTCTGTCATAGTTGACGTGTACCTATGATGAAAATTACAGGCCTCTCATCTTTTTAAGTGGGAGAACTTGCACAATTGGTGGCTGACTAAATACTTCCCCCCCCCCACTGTATACACACATACACAGCATTCGGAAAGTATTCAGATCCCTTGACTTTTTCCACATTTTGTTAGGTTACAGCCTTATTCTAAAATTGATTAAAATTGTTTTTTTCCCCCTCATCAATCCACACACAATAGCCCCATAATGACAACGCATAAACAGGTTTTTAGAAATGTTTGCTAATTTATTAAAAATAAAAAACTGAAATATTACATTTACATAAGTATTCAGACCCTTTACTCAGTACTTTGTTGAAGCACCTTTGGCAGCGATTACAGCCTCGAGTCTTCTTGTGTATGACGCTACAAGCTTGGCTGTATGCTTAGGATCATTATCCTGTTGGAAGGTGAATCTTCGCCCCAGTCTGAGGTCCTGAGTGCTCTGGAGCAGGTTTTCATTAAGGATCTCTCTGTTAATCTTTGCCTCGATCCTGACTAGTCTCCCAGTCCCTGCCGCTGAAAAACATCCCCACAGCATGATGCTGCCACCACCATGCTTCACCGTAGGGATGGTGCCAGGTTTCCTCCAGACGTGACGCTTGGCATTAAGGCCAGAGTTCAATCTTGGTTTCATCAGACCAGAGAATCTTGTTTCTCATGGTCTGAGAGTCTTTAGGTGTCTTTTGGCAAACTCCAAGTGGACTGTAATGTGCCTTTTACTGAGGAGTGGCTTCCGTCTGGCCACTCTACCATAAAGGCCTGATTGGTGGAGTGCTGCAGAGATGGTTGTCCTTCTGGAAAGTTCTCCCATTTCCACAGAGGAACTCTGGACATCTGTCAGAGTGACTATCGGGTTCTTGATCACCTCCCTGAACAAGGACCTTCTCCCCCGATTGCTCAGTTTGGCCAGGCGGCCAGCTCTAGGAAGAGTATTGGTGGTTCCAAACTTCTCATTTAAGAATCTTGGAGGCCACTGTGTTCTTTGGGACCTTCAATGCTGAAGACATTTGTTTTTACCCTTCCCTAGATCTGTGCCTCGACACAATCCCGTCTCTGAGCTCTACGGACAATTCCATCGTGGCTTGTTTTTTTCTCTGAAATGCACTGTCAACTGTGGGACCTTATATAGACAGGTGTGTGCCTTTCCAAATCATGTCCAATCAATTGAATTTACCACAGGTGGATTCCAATGAAGTTGTAGAAACATCAAGGATGATCAATTGAAACAGGATGCACCTGAGCTCAATTTCGAGTCTCATAGCAAAAGGTCTGAATACTTATGTAAATAAGGTATGTTTTTTTTTTTATACATTTGCAAAAAATTCTAAAAACCTGTTTTTGCTTTGTCATTATGGGGTATTGTGCGTAGATTGCTGATGATTCTTTAAAAAAAACATTTTCCAAAATGTGGAAAAAGTCAAGGGGTCTGAATACTTTTCGAAGGCACTGTATGTGAAAGTAGAGTAGTGGCCTGAGGGAACACACTTAATGTGTTATGAAAAGTGTTATGAAATGTAATGTAATATTTTAAATAACTGCCTTAATGTTGCTGGACCCCTAATGGGGATCCTTAATAAATACAAATACCAAAAAATCCATGACTATTCATGCAGAATAGAACGAGCAGGGCATTGTGCAAGAGCACAGAGTAATTTCATGTTCAGTGCTCCATGCTGTGCACCAATGTGTAAGGGCTGGACGGGGCTAACACACTGAACAAATAGCTCAGTGCATCGCAGCGAATAGTGATTGTCTGCTTCTATCTACATCTACACACAATCACTTTGCTGCTGAGCATATGTATTTTACATACTTAAAACAGCTAAAATCATCATAGAAAATAAATTCAACATTCAAAATCTATTTATTTCATGAACTTTTATTAAGAATTCAATTAATTATCCTACAAATGTGTTCCTACAGTTAAATACTGAAATGAGAAAATATAGAATAATGTTTTATTTTCCCTTTTCACTAACTGGTATATTGTATTTATTATTATGGTGCAATGACAATCACAGGCTGGTAAAACTCATAGCACGTACTGAGACACAATATGGATATATATAATAGGAAGGATTTTTAGATAAGTTCTTAGTGCTCTACCCTCTAAACACAATCACATAATGTTGGGGTCCATTCCATTTCAATTACTCAGTTGAACTGTAAATTCATTTCTCCATAGGAGTGCAAGTTAATTATATGTATAACACAACAACCCTGACACCCACACCCACCTACTCACTCACTCAGACAGCTCTGCGAATGTGAAGGATGCAGATGTCAGGACTGTTATACTCTGGGTCCTGCTTGTCCAAAGGGATCTCTTCAGACTGGAAGTCTCGTAGCAGCAACTGATTGGACAACAGACCAGAGGACCAGCAAGTCATTGAAGAGGAACATGATCCTAAGATCTCCATAAGATACATGAAAAGCTTAAATATAACAGCCACCTACATTTCCTTACACAACAGTTTATGTGATAACAGGAGGACAGACAGAATACTCACCTCAAAAAATGTTTTATAAACTTTGCGGTTGACATCCACTGTGTGTTGCTCATAGCATCATATGATGCAGGTCTCTGGTCCAGCCAGGTGCTTCACAGACTAAGTACAAAAGATGGTCAACAGTTAAAACAACAAACAGTCATTTTTTCACCCATGTATTGAACTCAAGGCAACTCGTAGTGTTCTAATACTGAATGTGTTGGGCAGTTGTACAGGTCTTGAAGCAATAATAAGCAAGTCCCACAAAAACTGAACCAAATTTTCAAATTGCAGCATGAATTGCGTAGCACAACGGTAAATGTGAAAGTATAACACCTGTGCATAATAGAAGCAGTCCACCATCAGGATAAAATGTGGGTGTGGTAGAAACTCTGACACATTTTCACCCCTTTAAAGATAAGAGAATTCCACATTAAGCATTTTCATTGTACATGTTTTGGACATCAACTATAGGCAGCTAGACCACATACAGAAAATCCATGGTTTGCATGCACATTACAGCCGACTGTGGTGACGATGGTTGTCGCTTGTGTTACGTAATAAAATCTCTATATTAACCAACAAGAACTAGAATAAGTACAGTACAGAGCATTTCAGTACCTTGGCTGTGGTGGATCCACTGCTGATAAGTGTCTGGTTCTCTTGAATATTGACTTGGAGTAGAAACTGCAGTTCAACTGGACAGACGCATAAACTGGCGTTAGTTAGCTAGCTAGCAGTGAAAGTGAAGCAAATAGTTGGTTTACTAGCTAGCTAGCTAATAGGTCAAGAACATGTATTTAGTGGCTAACGTCACTCACCCCAAATATGCTGCATAAGGCATCTCTTACAAAATATGTATATTGTTCTAATGTTTGTTCCGCCATCTTGTTCTCTGACGTTTTACCGCTTCCTCATTGCATCCACGCCCACTGTGACTTGTGGCACCGCCCACCTGGCGAAATGCTGCCAAAGATGGCGGGTAATTGAAGATAGTTAACGCAGGCCATTTACCATTCGGAAAAAAATGTCAGTTCCGGTCTACTTAAGGGGGTGGCTCTCCCATAGACACCAACGCGATAGCAGCTGGGTTTGGTCTACTGCTGCATTCAAATCAACTGGGAACTCGGTAATCTCCTACTTCAGTGCGTTCAAGACAACTGGGAACTCGGAAATAAACTAGTCATCCAACTCGGAATTCCAAGTCTGGAACTCGGGCCTCTTTCTAGAGCTCCGACATTCCGACCTGAATATCAATGATGACATGATTTGACCTCGTTTTTTCCACCGAGATCCCAGTTGTTGTGGAAGCTAGATTAATATTTGTGTGTGTGTGAACTGTGCCTTATATTACGCTCGTGCGTTGAATATGTTAGCTGACTCGCGCCCATTGACCCTGACATTGCGGGAAAGTTATAAACGATGGCTACCTGAGGTTGAGGTAATTTAGCCGTCAACAAACTGTGAGGTGACCTTCTGTTATTATAATTTCTCTAAATTTGTTTGCCGAATCACCATCAAAACTCTTTGAAATGCTTCGAAGTAGTACAGAGGAGTTGACACCTGGCAACACCTCGGACTCCGGAAGAAGCTCGGTGCTGTCACCTTTGTATCATCGAGGCGGACAAAATGGGCCCGTGTCGCTCGGTCGTGGATCAACATCTGCAGGCCTGCTCACAAGAGGTAGGCCTACATAAACTATTTCCCGTTAGCTATGTAAACAAACGTGCTAGCTAGCTAAGCTAACCATTCTGATTAAATGGAAATCATGTTGGCAAAGTTGAGCACTGCTAAATTCTCTAAATAAAGCTTATACACATTTTCATATTTTTAATTATCTAGGCTACAAGGCACTTAGCCAGGCAGGCTTATTTAGATTGAGTTGTAGACTATAAGTTGATGGCCTCTTTCTTTGACTCAGGTCAGGTGAATCACAACTTCAGAGGGGGCAGGACAAGTTCATCTGTCCCACCCTCCAGTGGCTCCTCATTCTATGGGACCCCCAGACTCATGGGGGGAACCCCCAGACTCGGGAGGACCCCAGGCTCAGCTGGGGCTGTAGGCATACACCCTGTATGGACGCCACAGACTGAACCCTCTGGTAAAGCCATAGCGCAGACACACACAACTGAGTTGTTTTTCACTGGGCTGTCTCAGTTTGAGAGTTGAATTATTCCGCTCTCTCCATTCCAGCAGTGACCACTAGCTGCTCCTCTGTGACCTCGGCCACTGCTGCCTCTGTGATTGTGGCGGTGGTAGAAGGGCGTGGGTTGGCCAGGGGGGAGATTGGCATGGCCAGTATCAACCTGAAATGCCCAGAGCTGGTCCTCTCTCAGTTTGCAGACACTGGGACCTATGCCAAGGTAGAACATAATAAACAAATAGGCTGAATTGGTTTACTGTCTTCAGTATCTCAGAACAGGGACAGACAGGCAAATCCATCTCCATGCAGCCTAGCTAAGTGCATGGTTATCTCAGTGTACTAAAGGAGCGTTAAACTTGTCTCTGATCCACTTCCAGGTTATCACCAAGCTTCACATCCTGGTGCCACTGGAGATACTAATGCCAGACACTGCCAGTGAGAAAGGCAAAGGGACCAAGCTATACAACCTCATCACAGAAAACTTTCAGGTACTGAGTCGAGGTGGTCTGTCTATACTGCTGAAGTGAGACTTTTACCTTTGTCTTATGTGTTATTTGTTGCCTAACCTTCTTCTTTATGTTTCAGTCAGTATCTTTCACTGCAATCCAGAGAAAGTACTTCAATGAGAGAAAAGGGCTGGAGTACATCCAGCAACTGTGTGCAGCAGAGTACAGCACTGTTATCATGGAGGTGCAAGCTAAGTATGTCACTGGGCTCAGAGAGCATAACAATAATAGTCTGTCACTTCATAATAATCAGTCCATTGAACTGCAGTGTTCATCCCCAGATACTATTGCCTGGCAGCTGCTGCTGCTTTGCTGAAATACTTTGAGTTCATTCAGAACTCCATCTATGCACCAAAGTCACTGAAAGTAAGCTTCAAAGGGAGTGAGCAGACTGCCATGATCGATTCAGCGTCTGCCACTAACCTGGAGCTGGTTGTCAACAACCGGGACCACAGGTATGGGGGCGTGGCAGAAGGATGTGAGACCGTCTCACTTATCAGTTTTTCAAACATGGTCAATACATCAAGAGAGTATGTGATGTCCAGGGTGTGTGTACATTTGTGTGTCTGCAGGAGTGAACATACCCTGTTAGGGGTGCTGAACTACACCAAAACCCCTGGTGGGGGAAGGAGGCTGCGCTCTAACATTTTAGAGCCCTTGCTGGATGTCGATACCATAAACATACGTCTGGACACCATTCAAGAGCTGTTACAGGACGAGGAGCTCTTCTTTGGCTTAAAGAACGGTTAGTAACAGCTACTAACGGTGTTACCTTATATTACAGTGATAGGTTTTCAATGTTGATTGACAGTTCTTTAAAGATTAGTGTATTTCCTTTGTTCATTTCTACTGTGCCTGCAGCCATTGGACATTTTCTGGATATAGACCAACTGCTCTCTGTTCTTGTCCAGATTCCCAAGCAGGAAACGGTACATATAGACGTTATTTGATTACTTGTGATACATTTGATTAAATAAACTATTATATTGCTCCTTTCAATGGTATGGTTTCCTGAAGGTAAAAGAGTTGTCAAAGCCATAATGATGGAACAGTGAGAGTAATGTTAGAATCTGTCTGTTTTCCTCTCAATGAAGGTTCAAGTTGCAGAATCAAAGATTACACATGTGATTCAGCTGAAGCATACTCTGGAGTTGGTACCACCACTGAGGGTAAGTGCTCTGTGTCCTTATAATATATTCAAAATCATTACTGTTGTTGTACCATGTGCATTTTTATAACCAGTATTGTGTAAACAGATGGTGCTGAAGAACTGTAACACTGCTCTGCTGAAGGCTTACAGCAGCTCACTGGAAGACAACAGGTACATTATCACTAAAGGGATTGGGTTTTCAATTAACAGGCCTCTAGAACACCTCTCAGGCACATTGCCTTCATTGATCACATTATGTTTCCTCAGGTTTGACATGATCCTGGACCAGATCAAGACAGTGATTAATGATGACACCAGCTACATGAAGGGGAGCCTCAACATGCGTACACAGAAGTGCTACGCTGTGCGCCCCAACATCAATGAGTTCCTGGACATCGCCCGGCGAGCCTACACTGAGATTGTGGATGACATTGCAGGTGTTCACTAGATGGTTATGATGTTTTAAAGGGATATGCAAATTGATAATCTCTTATCGGATTATCCCTAATTTATTTCAAACTGTCTCTGATGTGTTATGTGTAGCCTACAGTAAATCTTTCCTGGTGTGAATTACATAATGAACCCTGCTGATGCACAGGGCTGGTTGACCAGGTGGGGGAGAAGTATGGCTTGCTGATACGCACCAGCTTCAGCACAGCTCGAGGCTTCTACATCCAGATGAAACTGGAGGGGGGAGCTTTACCTGATGGGGAACTCCCAGCTGACTTCATCAAGGTAATAACCTATTTGATGAACACCTCTGTACCTGGCAATGCTGGATTGTGGCAATGATGAATGGATTATACAGAGCATTAAGTGAGAGAAACCCATTACAAGGTGTCATGTTGCTTCATGTTCATTGTTTAAAGTGGCTGTACCTGTCAGAATTTCTTTGGCCCTATATTACACTAAAACTTGTTCGGTATTCTCATTCATAGTAATATATTTTCATATTCTTGCTGTGTTTTATTCACACTTTCCTCAGGTGACAAAGCACAAGAACAACTACAGCTTCACCACAGCAGACCTGATGAAGATGAATGATCGCTGTGATGAGGCTCTGAGGGAAATATTCCACATGTCCTATGTGTGAGTAAAGAGCAGCTTCACAGCCTCACAATTATCAGGCTACATTTTCAGTGTATAATGTGTACAGAAAAATATGTATTCTTTGCTTTGATCTGACTGACAAACCTACCCTTTATTTCTGTTATTATCATGTGTCATAAAGCGTCTGCTAAATGACGTAAATGTAAATAACTGGGGGAAATTGGATTGATTTATTATTGTTTACCCAGTAGATGGGGCTATTTAGTTTGTTGTGGCGTTGTAGATAATGTTGTCCTGTTTACACCTGTCTCTTTCCAGGGTGGTGTGTCAGCTGCTGAGTACAGTTCATGAGCGTATCCACTGTCTTTACAAACTGTCCGATGCTGTGTCCATGCTAGACATGCTGCTGTCACTAGCCAATGCATGCACCATCTCAGACTATGGTAAGTCAAGCAGGAACGTTAATAAATGTAATCAATGATTCATTTATTCTGTACATTTCTGCAACAGAACACAAAAAGTATGTGTTGCTCAAATTCATAGTTCACGCTAACCATATGATCCAGTCAGATTCAAGCTATCCCTGGAGTGGTTTGACAGTATCTGAAGAAACCCACCCACTCATCCATCTCACATAGCAGCCAGTCATAGCAGCATGAGTGAATAGTGTCAGCAGCAGTACCCCCAGTTCTCCTCTATAAGTGACAAAGAGGCTGCTGTGATCTGCTCTCTATTTAACATTGGTTGCCCTGCTAGCTTAAGTTGTCTGGGCAGCAGCTCCCATAACCATGTGGGTGGTGACCAATGGCCCACAGCTGTCTGAAAAAGGATCTCTGGAGGGACTTGTGCTGACTGACGGCCCTCTCTGTCTCAGTCATCTCACTCTCAGATTACCCTGGTCACGTAACCGTTACTGTATTTGACCAGACCAATCTCTCTGCAAGACACGACTACTGCATGTACTGTACGCTAGAAGTGTTTGGAATTTTCTCATAAAATGTGTGATAAAATAACAAACACAACTGAATGTCATCCACAGTAATTCAACACAGAGGAAAACATTTATTTACCAACCACGTAATTGTACATTTTGAATTGTATTGTAATTGTTTTCCTTCTCTGTGCCTGCAGTGCGTCCTGAGTTCACAGACACACTGGCCATCAAGCAAGGTCGTCACCCCATTCTGGAGCGCATCGTTGGCCAGCAGCCCGTGTCCAACAACAGCTACATCTCTGAGGGCAGCAACTTTGTCATCATCACTGGGCCCAACATGAGCGGCAAGTCCACCTACCTCAAACAGGTGGCGCTGTGCCAGATCATGGCTCAGATAGGTGGGTGGAGAAACCACAAAATTAATTTGAAATGGAATGTAGTTATATAATTAACTTAATTTTCTGTGTTGTAACCATTCAACGGGCTTACTCACAGGCTATTTATATAATGAGTCTGATCTTTCCTAGGCTCCTTTGTGCCTGCTGAGTATGCCTCCTTCCGCATTGCTGACCAGATTTTCACCAGAATCGGGGTGGATGACGACTTTGAGACAAACTCCTCAACCTTTATGGTGGAAATGAAGGAGGTACATTTTCCATATATTGGCCAGTGGTTTGGTATGGATTTTCGAAATACCGCAAAGTAATTATATTTCATTTATTTGTCTTTGTACTCCCAAGGTCTCATATTTAATCCATAATGTGAGTGATCGGTCTCTCATTATCATAGACGAGCTTGGGCGTGGTACTAGTGCTGAGGAGGGTGTCGGCATCTGTCACTCTGTCTGCGAATTCCTCCTTAGCCTCAGGGTAGGTACAGTGTCCAACCAGCACAGTGCCTCTCTCCTATCTGAAACAATGGATGATTAATTTGATTTTTATGTATGAATCATGGAGTCCTTTCTTTTCTTTGACTTCCTGTTACATGCACTGCTCAGATCATAAGATAAATATGTGTGCTCAGCTGTTTACCTGCTGGTCCCAGGCGTTCACTCTGTTTGCCACACACTTCCTGGAGCTATGTCAGCTGGAGACATTGTACCCCAATGTGGAAAACCAGCACATGGAGGTTCAGCACACCCGCACTGGTGACACGGGTACAGAGAGTGTCTTCTATACCTTCCTGCTGAGCCGTGGAAGCTCTGAGGAAAGAAACTATGGTAAGGAAATACAATCAGACACTTAACATTGTCCAATCTCAATCATTCAACTTAATGGTAAAAGGTTTACTGTAATGTTCAACTTGCAGGTCTGAGGGCTGCGGAGATGACTGCACTGCCTACAACCATAATCCAAGAAGCAAAGGCGATTAGCTCCAAAATCAGCCAACAGCTCTTGGTATGCTTTTCCAGTAGGCCATGTCTTATAATTATTTAGATCTAATTTACTATCCCATCATCTTATTCTCTGTGGTCCCTGCTGGTCCGTCAACCTGTCATCTTCCTCCTCCCTCCTACCCTGTCTCAGGCCAAGCACCACAGTGATCCGGAAACGCAACGGCAGAGAGCAGTGTACCACCTGGCCACCCGGCTCCTGCAGACAGCCAGGAACTCCAAGCTGGACCCTGACAGCCTGCGCATCTATCTGAAGGGCCTGAAGAGACACTATGAAGCAGAGCTGCAGGTCACAGGAGAGCCTGTGTCCATGGAGACAGAGGAAGAATGATTCAGATGAGGAAAGGGATGTCAAAGGGTGGGAAGGGGGCGATGAGATGGAGAGGAATTTTGAGGAAGCTTGTGGACTTATGAATGATGCTGTTTGACTATAAATGGTCTCCTATAATGATATTCAATGACATTGTTGTTAGATGTTCCCATGGGGGGCCAGTATGAAAAATGTATGCACTCACTAAAACTAAGTTGCTCTGGATAAGAGTGTCTGCTAAATGACTAAAATGTAAATGTTGAGTATTTGTTTTGTCTCGATGTTAATCTGTAATATTTGGAGAATTTTTTAAAAAATATTTTCCTAAAGTGTCTTATTAACTTGACATGGAGCTGGACAACAAGGGAGGGGCCCACATTTTTAACACCCACGTAGCTTCAAAACCCCTATCAGAGAAGAAGGCCCTGCCTTTCCAACGTCCTCGTCTCCAGTCTCCTCCCTTCATTGAATTCTACGCTGTGTCCTGAGACATATCGACCCGCCCACGCGAAACAAGATACACGGGCAGCGTTGAGTTGTGCAGCTCTGGGGAACTCACCATTTCATTTCAACATTTAGGAAACTGCGGAATTAAAACACCTCAGGGTATGTACATTACATGTTCTCATAACATTTTTTTTTACGAGCTAGGCACTCAAGGTTTCGCGTAGCTGAGACAGTAATCTGGGCCTGGCACTAGCGCCAATGCACTGCCGGAAAATCGGGGACGCAAGAGTGGGTCAGATTTCAGGACAGGGGGGTGGGTGACTTTGTAGACGAGGCCTTTTGTTGGGATTGGCTTCTCAGGTGCTGTAGACTGGGTTAGGTTTTATATTAAGCCAACAGTAACTGTTTTGGAAACGTTATTTCTAAACAACATAAAGTATGTGGTTTCCAGCATTTCACCTGTTTAAAATAGAATAACGTTAACTATGTCCGTACATCTCGAGACGTCACTCACTGACCAGACAAGTTTTCCTGTAAGTGTCATGATTTGCAGCACGATGACACAGATGGAACTGGCTAACAAACGTAACGTTAATCACTTCATTTATTGTTGGCTGGTTTCCTTGGACAGCAAACTAGTTAGCTAGCTAAACGCCCTGACCCAAAAAGATGGCCTACTTCGTTTGTCTAAAGGAAGGCAGGCGTCATTGGAAAAGCCGGAGTAGTTAGCGAACTATCCATGAAATACATTAACTAGTTACCAACATGTACGGCCCTAGTCAAATAATGACATTACGGCTTTGTAACTAGCCAGTTCGTATCCAAAGCAGGGCCTTACCAAAGCCCTTCCGCCAGTATCGTGTCCACCCACTCATGTGTATGTTGCTAGCAAGTTACATTGAACAAAAATATAAACGCAACATGTGAAGTGTTGGTCCCATGTTTCATGAGCTGAAACGAAAGATCCCAGAAATGCTCCATATGCACAAAAAGCTTATTTCTCTCAAATATTGTGCTACAACTAGTTTCCATCCCTGTTAGTGAGCATTTCTTCTTTGCCAAGATAATCCATCCACCTGACAGGTGTGGCATATCAAGAAGCTGATAAAATGGCATGATCATTACACAGGTGCACCTTGTTGGGGACAATAAAAGGCCACTCTAAAATGTGCAGTTTTGTCACACAACACAATGCCACAGATGTCTCAAGTTTTGAGGGAGTGTGCAATTGGCATGCTGACTGCAGGAACAGCTCTGGTGGACATTTCTCTACCATAAGCCCCCTCCAATGTCATTTTATTGAATTTGGCAGCATGTCCAACCAGCCTCACAACTGCAGACCATGTGTATGGTGTCGTCTGGGCGAGCGGTTTGCTGATGTCCGCTGTGAACCAAGTATCCCATGGTGGGGTTATGGTATGGGCAGGCAAAAGCTACAGACAATTAACACAATTGCATTTTATCGATGGCAATTTGAATGCACAGAGATACCGTGAAGAGATCCCGAGGCCCATTGTCGTGCCATTCATCCACTGCCATCACCTCGTGTTTCAGCATGCTAATACACTGCCCCATGTCGCAAGGAAGCTGAACATTTCCAAGTTCTTCCGTGACCTGCATACTCACCAGACATGTCACCCATTGAGCATGTTTGGGATGGTCTGGATCAACGTATGACAGCGTGTTCCTGCCAATATCCAGCAACTTCGCACAACCTTTGAAGAGGAGTGGGACAACATTCCACAGGCCACAATCAACAGCCTGATCAACTCTATGCGAAGGAGATGTCGCGCTGTATGAGGCAAATGGTGGTCACACCAGATACTGATCCATGCCCCTGCCTTTGTGACCAACAGATGCATATCTGTATTCCCTGTCATATGAAATCCATAGATTAGGGCCTAATGAATTTATTTAAATTGACTGATTTCCTTATGAACTGTAGCTCAGTAAAATCTTTGAAATGGTTGCATTTATATTTTTGTTCAGTATAGATAATACATTTGTATTATGGTTAGTAAGATAATAGCAGAGCAATATCTAACCACAAGTGCTGCTTGCTAACTTACGTGCAAGGACATGGCAGGCATGCCAGCAGAGACAGAACATTTCATCGCCTTGAAACGGAACTGATTAGCCTAGGGCTAGGCCTTATGCAATACTAGCTAGGGGAGTTTTGCTTAGAACAGCCTGTTAGCACGGCACAAAACACCCGTTGTAGGCAGTTTTGTGGGTAAAGGAAATTACTACTTTATCTGTAGAATAGTTTAATTAGCTAGCTGGTTACATTCACAGCATTACACTGTTTTAATGGACGGAGAGATTACTGTTTTGAGTTGTCCCAGTCATCTGCACCTAAATGGTTGTTAGGCTTATCATATGATCTCGAATGGTCTAATACAGTGATTGTTGTGAGCCTCACATCAGTGTGCGTTTCTCTCCCACCATCTGTAGCTGTTGAGAAGAATGAGTGATCCTTGAGGTTTGTGTTTAACTAGCTAGGCTACTCCGGTATTTTGAAGATGATCTCTGCTTGTCATATCTATAACATTTTAACTGGATGAAGTCCCCCAAGTGCTCTTATTCATTACCCAATGACTTGTGTTGACAGGGGCCATCTACAAAATCTGTATGGCTTGACATTTGTGAAATGCTCTCCTTATGTTGCAGCCATATGAGGAGGTATTTTTGCAGTAGGCGATATACGTCCAGACTCCCTGGTCCTTTTCCTTACATTAGGGTTGTAATAATTAGTCCAAACAAGTTTTTTAACTAAAACAAGAGTTTCTGTTGGACAAATTCAGTTAGGTCCTTCCCCATTTGCTTCCATTTAAGAAACGCTTTGCAACAGAATTGGCGAAATGGATAACCTTTTTTTTCGGTTACCTTTAGTGATTGGTCAGTTAGGATTGTGTGTGTGTGTGTGTGTGTGAATGGCGGCCTTCTCTTGTGAGTCTTATTCCAGATATGGCTTGAAGGGGTGGTGATTCTATTTGTTTGCACCCACAGGGCTGGCTGCTGAGATACCTTACCAGCCTCTGGCTTCAGAGAGGCGTTGCAGTAAACCTCATGGCTTAACCTGCATACTGAGGGATGTAACGGCTGGTTCTTGTCAATGTCCCCCTCAATATCTCTGTGGGTTTATCTGCAATACTTAAATTATGCATATTTTGGCATGTTCAAGAATATATCCTACTGAAACATTAGCAGAGTAAAAATAAGTTTACTGCTGTTACTTTTGAACACGATATCACTGATACATATTACAGATAAAGGTCATGTGTAGTGTGCCCTTAAAGGCTGGTTCGTCACACTCTGTTTTCTCTCCTTCAGGACTGATAGATTATAAAGGGTTCCCGACCCAAGGCCGCCATGTCTGTCCCTGCCAAAGGGACAGCTAGCCAATGGCCTGAGAGGGCTTTGTCTTCCGGGCTCATTTCCATGCTGGGACATGGCTCCTGCTGTACTGGGAAACTTTGCACCCTCCAGTCTGAAGCATAGCTAGGGCTGCAAGCAAGCAAGCAGGCAGGCATACCCCACCCATCCTGTCCACACTGCCTTAGTGTTCTTTTCTGCTTAAGAGGTGTTTACTTTCACAGCTCCAGTTGTCCCGCCTAGGGTGTTTCCTGGTGAAGTAACTGTTAACGGTGGGTGCTCTGGTTTGGTGCCGAAAGGGTTAGTGGCCCAACAGCTCGCTAATCAGTTTGTTTTTGCACTTACATTTAAAATTTTTACATTTTTAGTCATTTAGCAGACACTCTTATCCAGAGCGACTTACAGTTAGTGAGTGCACACATTATTATTTGTTTTTTTCATACTGGTCCCCCGTGGGAATCAAACCCACAACCCTGGCGTTGCAAACACCATGCTCTACCAACTGAGCTACATCCCTGCCGGCCATTCCCTCCCCTACACTGGACGACGCTGGGCCAATTGTGCGCCGCCCTGTGGGTCTCCCGGTCACGGCCGGCTATGACATTCGAACCAGGATCTCTAGTGGCACAGCTAGCACTGCGATGCAGAGCCTTAGACCACTGCGCCACTCGGGAGAGCATAATATATATATATATATCTTTGTGTGACCTTGTATTCAAAATGTGAATTCTTCCATTGAGTACATTGTCATATGCCCAATCATGCCCTCCTACTCCCTGCTTTTGTTATTGAGCAACTTTGGTTCATATTGTTAGCCTTGAAAGCCTCTAGTTGCTTTTCCTACTGGTATCATGTCCAATATGGATGGAGTACTTTCAAATGAGGTATCCGATAAGCTCATTTTACTCAACAGATAAGCAAATCTTACTCAACAAAGAGATGTGGCAAAGAATTTTGTGCGAATATTTGCTCTTCTGATCAACTAGAAACTGGCACATACAACTAGAAACTGGCACATTAACCATTATGTGGTTTGAATAGGGGCAATTTCATGGTCACAGAATGATGCTGAGACTCACATTTTCACATTAAAATGTATTCCAAATAAAAAACATTGTTGCTAAATTGAACACCATATAACTCTATGCACAATAACTACTTTTAACAATTTCCACCGAACATTTTCCAAAAACACATTTACTTGAACAGTGCAGATGCGAAGTTTGGTAACAGAATGATGGTAAAATCTCCCTCTGTTTGTGACCAAGTTTTCCAAAAACTCTGTTAAATATCTACTCTTAAGATTCAGATGTCTGCAGAAAGAATGGGGTGTCGGCTATGATATGTCACCTTGGGTTTGAAAAAATCTATTTTGGTTATTGAACTACAGTAAGTGAAGTGGATTAACACCTGGTAATATAATGACATAATGGGTCCCTGATCTGTACTACACGGAAATGCATAATGATTGATATGAATGCCATTCTCTTCATGATGTGTCCTGAATATGTACACAACGGTTGTTACGTTCTCCCCTCGGGTGTAGTTCGTCTGAGGAGGAGACGTAAATGCCTGGGCCTGCGCACACAAGATAAACTAGATGAAGGTGGGAGAAATGTGGGGTGTAATGAACTAAAATAACCAGACAACAACCAGATCTCAAGGTTAGCCCTCGGGGGACGTTTAGTAATGTACTTAAACAAAATATACAACACCCATAAAGAAACAACAAATCAATCAAATAAACCAGGGAAGGTAAGAGAAGGGAATATTTGGGAACGGGGTCCAATTAATGAAAATAAACAAAAGGTCCCTCTTCTACACACCTAAACCTTCCTATCACACTCTAACCCTAACCCACTTTCCTACCTGTTTACCAAAAATACAGGGGTGACACCCGCCCGGCTAACCTAGTGTGTAAAACAATGGGTTATCTACGTGTGAATGTACACCCATGGGCAGATCTACCTTTCCCTTCTCCAGGACCTAGGTAGGGTGGAGTACATCAGCTAACTGTGCCACTAGAGATCCTGGTTCGAATCCAGGCTCTGTCGCCGCCGGCCGCGACCGGGAGACTCATGGGCGGCGCACAATTGGCCCAGCGTCGTCCAGGGTAGGGGAGGGAATGGCCGGCAGGGATGTAGCTCAGTTGATAGAGCATGGCGTTTGCAACGCCAGGGTTGTGGGTTCGATTCCCACGGGGGGCCAGTATAAAAAAAATATGTATTCACTAACTGTAAGTCGCTCTGGATAAGAGCGTCTGCTAAATGACTAAAATGTAAAATGTAATCAGGAGGACAGGCTGGAACACAAACAAAGATAAATTAACACAGCCAAACAACAAGTGTCCTCTCCCCTCCTTTCTTCGAGCTCACACGGCAAACAGGTATACTCTCATCAATCAGCTACAGCTGCCAGGACTCCGGACCGAAGCCACGCCCACCATCGTCAGCCGCAACTCAGCACACCTGTAATGCCCAGAACACACAAACACACTACAAAGGAAAATGGGGAGAAAGAAAAATACGTCACACGTAACAACGGTAGAAATATGCAATATCCTCCTTTGCATATTTGGGTATTTTAATGATCTCTGCCCCAAAACAAGAACACATTTTAACCGATCATAGATGCCTGTTTCTCAAGTTACACTGTACATTAGTGTGCTCTACTGCAATGGATCCCAACCTTTTTCGGTTACTGTTACCACCGACTGAATTTTTCTCTGCCCGGAGAACCTCCTTGTGTGCATTTTACCAGTAAGCATATGGTCTCATGAGTCTTTTCAAGTACCCCCTGTGGATAGGCCAAGTACCCCCTGTGGTTAGGCCAAGTACCCCCTGTGGTTAGGCCAAGTACCCCCTGTGGATAGGCCAAGTACCCCCTGTGGATAGGCCAAGTACCCCCTGTGGTTAGGCCAAGTACCCCCTGTGGATAGGCCAAGTACCCCCAGGGGTCCTAGTACTCCGAGTTGGGAACCACTGCTCTACTGGACACTACAGTACTCTACTGTGCTGTTCAAACTTGTGAAACATTGGTCTGGCCCACCGGACCAAAAATCTACGTCTGTGGAAATCAATTACTATTAAATAAATACTTCACAGAGTTCAAGTAACATACACATCTCAACATCAACTGTTCAGAGGAGACTGTGTGAATCAGGCTTTCATGGTTGAATTGCTGCAAAGAATCCACTACTAAAGGACACCAATAAGAAGAAGAGACTTGCTTGGGCCAAGAATCATGAGCAATGGACATTAGACCAGTGGAAATTTGTCCTTTGGTCTGGAGTCCAAATTGGAGATTTTTGGTTCCAACCGCCGTGTCTTTGATAGACGCGGTGTGGGTGAACAGATGATCTCCACATGTGTATTTCCCACCGTAAAGCATGGAGGTGTTATGGTGTGGGGGTGCTTTGCTGGTGACACTGTCAGTGATTTATTTAGAATTCAAGGCACACTTAACCAGCATGGCTACCACAGCATTCTGCAGTGATACGCCATCCCATCTGGTTTGGGCTTAGTGGGACTATCATTTGTTTTTCAACAGGACAATGACCCAACACGCCTCCAGGCTGTGTAAGGGCTATTTGACCAAGAAGGAGAGCGATGGAGTGCTGCATCAGATGGCCTGGCCTCCACAATCCCCAACCTCAACCACATTGAGATGGTTTGGGATGAGTTGGACCGCAGAGTGAAGGAAAAGCAGCCAACAAGTGCTCAGCATATGTGGGAACTCCTTCAAGACTGTTGGAAAGCATTTCAGGTGAATCTGGTTTAGAGAATGCCAAGCGTGTGCAAAGCTGTCATCAAGGCAAAGGGTGGCTATTTGAATAATCTTTGAAAAAGGTTTAACACCTTTTTTTGGTTACTACATGATTCCATATGTGTTATTTCATAGTTTTGATGTCTTCACTATTATTCTACAATGTAGAAAATAGTAAAAATAAAGAAAAACCCTTGAATGAGTAGTTGTCCAAACTTTTGACTGGTACTGTACATTCAAATTTAATTATATTCCCTTTTGTGCGACTTGAGCTGTTTCCCCTATCCAGCTGTTCCATTCTCTGTGTAGCCTGCTGCTACAGGTAATTGCCAGAATAAAGGAAATGTCAACATAGTGTCTTAATAGGGCGTTGGGCCACCACGAGCCGCCAGAACAGCTTCAATGCGCCTTGGCATAGATTCTTCCAGTGTCTGGAGCTTCCTGTGGAATCACCTCATGCTTTCAATTGTATCCCTCTTCCTTTATTTTGGGAGTTGCCTATAGAATTGAGAGGTATCACTCGAGTCGCAACAAAATGGAATATAACATTGTGGATAAAGTTCGGAATGACTATTTCATGTGTACAACATCGAAAGATCTGCATCGCTATATTGAGAGCGTTGCCGTTTCTACGAATTTGACATGCTCCTATGAACTTCACATGTTGGTGCTCATTGGTCTTTTTACATGGAAATTCTCATATGCATTATTGCTCTGTGAGGAAAAATGCCCTGTGTTTTTTCTATTTGGGCAAGTTAAGTGTCTGACCCTGTGGTATCGCGATACTGTTTGTTATCGTGATACTTGGCCTGGTATCACATTGTTAGTGAAATGTTGGTATTGTGACAACCTCATTCTGAAAATAGGCAAATTGTCTTGCAGTTGACACAGATTTTCCGTGCTAAATTAGTCACCTTTTTAGGCCCTCACCAGTTAACATCTCTGCTTAAGCCCATCAAGCCCAGAGCATCACTGCAGCGGAAAGTTATTCTTAAATGTATTATCATGGGTAATCTGATTTAATCCAAATTAGGGCCTACCTAAGAGGCCCAGCATGTATCTGCTAGACAGAGCCGAGTCCTGTGCTATTGCTGACACCAATCTGAATCCAGAGCAGGCGGGTATTGCCAGGTCAGCAGCACTGTTTGTAATTTTGACAAAAATAGTACACTTCTATCTAGACCGTGACCCAGGGCTGAAATGTTTTCATTTCCGCTCGGTGGTGTACAAATAAAGCGATGCCTGACTGAGTGAAACAATCAATGTTCAGATGATCACTGGACAGGCATTTCCTTGTAATGTTATTTGGCTACGTACTGGTTCTCATTTCTACCACTATCGTGTCTCCACTATTGTGGTTTCTTGTAACTAATAGAGCCGACTATGTTTGCATCGATTGTTGGTCTCCTTCGTTCTCTTTCCTACCACAAACTCCTAGGACTACCTCCAGTGTAGGAGCTACGAGACCGGTGTAGGCTTCACTTTGGCTGATGACTACTTATTGCTGTGTCTTGGGCCTGCCAGGGCAAACTTCTATATCTCTTTGCCATTTATAAATCATGCTAGGTCATATGTCCATGGTATCGCATCGGGACAAGGAAACCAAAGGATTTCCTAGGTTTCTTTTCCTTGGATATCGGGACTTGCCAGACAGTGACGCTAAAGGGAGTGACTGACTCAGTCAGTGTAGCCTACCGAATCGCATCGGTGAGAGTGCTGTTCATTTTGGCTCCCTAATTTGCGTAGGCTTTTTGGCGATTATCTGCAGATAAATTATGAAAACATTCAATGAAGATGGTGAATCATAACTGCAGGAACAATAGGGAATGGAGAGCCTCATTCTGGTTCAAATATGATAATTAGGGCCCTCACTGAATCCAGGCATTCAAACAGAACTCAACAATTTTCAAAACTGTATGGACCTGAAGGTGTTACATTTTATTAATTTGCACTAGTTTATCAGAAGACATGAACAGAATGCATCAGTGACTCTCATTTCCTGAAACTTTCTGAAGAGGCAACGAGAATGTGCGGTGTGCGCGTCTACCATTAAAATTCTAAAAACCAGGCAGAATAAACGACATCTAAAGCCTGTATATCGAAAATACAGATTTTTGTTGGTAAACCTGAAAAATGTATTGAACTCGCCAAATTGAGCACGGTTTCAAATGATCACTCTATGAGAATAACTGTTCCAGACGCGAAATGCGCATCACTTCACGCTGGCAACTTTTTTGGGAAAAATATTCTGTTCCATTTTATTCTATTATATTAATGTTTTTTTTACTATAAAATAGATGTCTTGACTGTGATAAGGGTTCTGGAAATAAGAGCGTCTTGTCTGCTAAATTAACAAAGCAAGGCTATGCCATTGCTGAGGTTACTGCCTTTTTGAAGATTGTGTTCCGTGATATAATATAACCATTTGGTATTACGGATTCAATAAATTAATCTAAAATGGCACTTGCTTCTTTTAACTGACTGAAAAAAAATATTATAATAATAATAATAAATATATATATATATATATATATATATATATATATATATATATATATATACTGCTCAAAAAAATAAAGGGAACACTAAAATAACACATCCTAGATCTGAATGAATGAAATAATCTTATTAAATACTTTTTTCTTTACATAGTTGAATGTGCTGACAACAAAATCACACAAAAATTATCAATGGAAATCAAATGTATCAACCCATGGAGGTCTGGATTTGGAGTCACCCTCAAAATTAAAGTGGAAAACCACACTACAGGCTGATCCAACTTTGATGTAATGTCCTTAAAACAAGTCAAAATGAGGCTCAGTAGTGTGTGTGTGTGTGGCCTCCACGTGCCTGTATGACCTCCCTACAACGCCTGGGCATGCTCCTGATGAGGTGGCAGATGGTCTCCTGAGGGATCTCCTCCCAGACCTGGACTAAAGCATCCGCCAACTCCTGGACAGTCTGTGGTGCAACGTGGCGTTGGTGGATGGAGCGAGACATGATGTCCCAGATGTGCTCAATTGGATTCAGGTCTGGGGAACGGGCGGGCCAGTCCATAGCATCAATGCCTTCCTCTTGCAGGAACTGCTGACACACTCCAGCCACATGAGGTCTAGCATTGTCTTGCATTAGGAGGAACCCAGGGCCAACCGCACCAGCATATGGTCTCACAAGGGGTCTGAGGATCTCATCTCGGTACCTAATGGCAGTCAGGCTACCTCTGGCGAGCCCATGGAGGGCTGTGCGGCCCCCCCAAAGAAATGCCACCCCACATCATGACTGACCCACCGCCAAACCGGTCATGCTGGAGGATGTTGCAGGCAGCAGAACGTTCTCCACGGCGTCTCCAGACTCTGTCATGTCTGTCACATGTGCTCAGTGTGAACCTGCTTTCATCTGTGAAGAGCACAGGGCGCCAGTGGCGAATTTGCCAATCTTGGTGTTCTCTGGAAAATGCCAAATGTCCTGCACGGTGTTGGGCTGTAAGCACAACCCCCACCTGTGGACGTCGGGCCCTCATACCACCCTCATGGAGTCTGTTTCTGACCGTTTGAGCAGACACATGCACATTTGTGGCCTGCTGGAGGTAATTTTGCAGGGCTCTGGCAGTGCTCCTCCTGCTCCTCCTTGCACAAAGGCGGAGGTAGCGGTCCTGCTGCTGGGTTGTTGCCCTCCTACGGCCTCCTCCACGTCTCCTGATGTACTGGCCTGTCTCCTGGTAGCGCCTCCATGCTCTGGACACTACGCTGACAGACACAGCAAACCTTCTTGCCACAGCTCGCATTGATGTGCCATCCTGGATGAGCTGCACTACCTGAGCCACTTGTGTGGGTTGTAGACTCCGTCTTATGCTACCACTAGACTCCAACCAAATGCTTCCTGTAGTTGTTGATCAGTCTCTCACGTCGCTGTGGAGGAATTTTGGCCCACTCTTCCATGCAGAACTGCTTGAACTCAGTGACATGTGGGTTTTCAAGCATGAACTGCTCGTTTCAAGTCCTGCAACAACATCTCAATTGGGATTAGGTCTGGACTTTGACTAGGCCATTCCAAAACTTCCAATTTGTTGCTTTTTAGCAATTTTTATGTAGACTTGATTGTGTGTTTTGGATCATTGTCTTGCTGCATGACCCAGCTGCGCTTCAGCTTCAGCTCACAGACGGATGGTCTGACATTCTCCTGTAGAATTCTCTGATACAGAGCAGAATTCATGGTTCCTTCTATTAAGGCAAGTCGTCCAGGTCCTGAGGCAGAAAAGCATCCCCAAACCATCACACCACCACCACCATGCTTGACCTTTGGTATGATGTTCTTACTGTGGAATGCAGTGTTTTTTGTTTTCACCAGGCATAATGGGACCCATCTCGTCCAAAAAGCTGACTCAAGTTTGCCAAAAAGCACCTGGATGATCATCAAGACTCTTGGAAGAAAGTTCTATGGACAGATGATTCAAAAGTATAACTTTTTGGACGACATGGTTCCAGTAATGCCTGGCGAAAACCAAACTCTGCATTCCACAGTAAGAACATCATACCTCAACATGGGGGCCCCTCAGGGGTGTGTGCTCAGTCCCCTCCTGTACTCCCTGTTCACTCATGACTGCATGGCCAGGCACGACTCCAACACCATCATGAAGTTTGCAGATGACACAACAGTGGTAGGCCTGATCACCGACAATGACGAGACAGCCTATAGGGAGGAGGTCAGAGACCTGGCCGTGTGGTGCCAGGACAACAACCTCTCCCTCAACATGATCAAGACAAAGCAGATGATTGTGGACTACAGGAAAAAAAAGAGGACCGCGCACGCCCCCATTCTCATCGACGGGGCTGTAGTGGAGCAGGTTGAGAGCTTCCTTGGTATCCACATTACGAACAAACTAACATGGTCCAAGCACACCCAAGACAGTCGTGAAGAGGGTACGACAAAACCTATTCCCCCTCAGGAGACTGAAAAGATTTGGCATGTGTCCTCAGATCTTCAAAAGGTTCTACAGCTGCGCCATTGAGAGCATCCTGACTGGTTGCATCACTGCCTGGTATGGCAACTGCTCGGCCTCCGACTGCAAGGCACTACAGAGGGTAGTGCGTGCGGCCCAGTACATCACTGGGGCCAAGCTTCCTGCCATCCAGGACCTCTATACCAGGCGTTGTCAGAGGAAGACCATAAAAATTGTCAAAGACTCCAGCCACCCTAGTCATACCGGAGCGCCAAGTCTAGGTCCAAGAGGCTTCTAAACAGATTCTACCCCCAACCATAAGACTCCTGAACATCTAATCAAATGGCTACCCAGACTATTTGCATTGCCCCCCTCCCCTCTCTGTTAAGCTGCTGCTACTCTCTGTTTATTATCTATGCATAGTCACTTTAATAACTACCTACATGTAGATATTACCTCGACTAACCGGTGCCCCGCACATTCACTCGGTACCGGTACCCCCTGTATATAGCCTCGCTATTGTTATTTTTACTGCTGTTCTTTTAATTATTTGTTACTTTTATTTTGTATTTTATATTGTATGTCTTTGATTTATTTTGGTATTCTTTCTGCATTGTTGCTTAAGGGCTTGTAAATAAGCATTTCACTGGAAGGTCTACACCTGTTGTATTCGGCGCATGTGACAAAATTTGATTTGACACACACACCAGTCAAAAGTTTGGACATACCTACTCATTCCAGGGTTTTTCTTTATTTTTACTATTTTCTACATTTTAGAATAATAGTGAAGACATCAAAACTATAAAATAGCACATTAAATCATGTAGTAACCAATAAAGGGTTAATCAAATGAAAATATATTTGAAATTCTTCAAAGTAGCCACCGTTTGCCTTGATGACAGTTTTGCACACTCTTGGCATTCTGTCAACCAGCTTCATGAGGTAGTCACCTGGAATGCATTTCAATTAACAGGTTTGCCTTGTTAAAAATTAATTTGTGGAATTTCTTTCCTTAATGCTTTTGAGCCAATCAGTTGTGTTGTGACAAGGTAGGGGTGGTATACAGAAGATAGCCCTATTTGATAAATGACCAAGTCCATATTATGGCAAGAACAGCTCAAATAAGCAAAGAGAAACTACAGTCCATCATTACTTTAAGACATGAAGGTGAATCAATGTGGAACATTTCAAGAACTTTGAAAGTTTCTTCAAGTGCAGTAGCAAAAACCATCAAGCGCTATGATGAAACTGGCTCTCATGAGGACCGCCACAGGAATGGAAGACCCAGAGTTACCTCTGCTGCAGAGGATAAGTTCATTAGAGTTAACTGCACCCCCTAATAAATGCTTCACAGAGTTCAAGTAACAGACACATCTGAACATCAACTGTTCAGAGGAGATCGCGTGAATTAGGCCTTCATGGTCGAATTGCTGCAAAGAAACCACTACTAAAGGACACCAATAAGAAGAAGAGACCTGCTTGGGCCAAGAAACACGAGCAATGGACATTAGACCGGTGGAAATGTGTCCTTTGGTCTGGAGTCCATATTGGAGATTTTTGGTTCCAACCGCCGTGTCTTTGTGAGACGCAGAGTAGGTGAACGGATGATCTCCGCATTTGTGGTTCCCAAAGTGAAGCACGGAGGAGGAGGTGTGATGGTGTGGGGGTGCTTTGCTGGTGACACTGTCAGTGATTTTATTTAGAATTCAAGGCACACTTATCCAGCATGGATTACCACAGCACTCTGCAGCGATACGCCATCCCATCTGATTTGGGCTTAGTCCCACTATCATTTTGTTTTTCAACAGGACAATGACCCAACACACCTCCAGGCTGTGTAAGGGCTATTTTACAAAGAAGGAGAATGATGGAGTGCTGCATCAGATGATCTGGCCTCCACAATCCCCTGACCTTAACCCAATTGGGTTGGTTTGGGATGAGTTGGACCGCAGAGTGAAGGAAAAGCAGCCAACAAGTGCTCAGCATATGTGGGAACTCTTTCAAGACTGTTGGAAAAGCATTCCAGATTAAGCTGGTTGAGAGAATGCCAAGAGTGTGCAAAGCTGTCATCAAGGCAAAGGGTGGCTACTTTGAAGAATCTAACATCTAAAATATATTTTGATTTGTTTAACACTTTTTTTGGTTACTACATGATTCCACATGTGTTATTTCAACTGTTTTTGCTTTTTCATTATGTGGTATTGTGTGTAGTTTTAACTATTTAATCCATTTTAGAATAAGTCTGTAACGTAACAGAGGAAAAAGTCAAGGGGTCTGAGTACTTTCCGAATTCACTGTAGACCTAGACGATATCCACAATACCACAACTAATTTTTCCAATCTGGGAGGTGATCTTGATAAAGTATTCAATAATTTCGCTTTGTATTTTTAGATGGAATCAAGGTATTAGAATGTACCAGAGGCCATCAAAATAGAGCTCCTTCGACAAAAGGAGTAGCCTGGCTGGCTACTCTATGCACTTGTGGAAAACACTGCTTTGTGTATAAAGAAAGTAGGCGGTGGGCCAGGACCGTGTAGTCTAATAGGATCATATCACAGAGACGACTTAGCGGAGAGTGAGGGAGGACACACACTAATCACCCCTCCCTCACGCACTCACTCGTTCTCACACACACATACATTCTCACTGCACAGGGCTGGCTCGCTCTGTCTGCAGACAACCTCTAGGAGAAAAAGTAATTGAGTTATATTTCTTACCAATAGATTTATGCAGTGTGGGAAAATGCATTAGCATTTCTGCTGTAGTATATCAAACCCATAAAGTATTGAGGAAATATCAGCAGCAGCCTCTTATCAGGGAGGCACTGGGAGCGAGGTGGAATGCCTTCTGGCACCACAGGTATTCATATCAGGCTGGCTGGAAGTGCCCAAAGCTGTTTTAATAATAATTCGGGGGATGCTTATATATGTCCTGTTATACAAGTGTGTAATGGAAATGTTTTTTTTTTTCCTTTCCCAACTCCCCCTGAGACACCCGCAGGGAGTGGGGTCAGGATTGTACAAGGTACTTGGAGCTAGGTTAAGTGCCTTGCTCAAGGGCAGAGCAACAGATTTTTCACCTTGCCGGATCCAGTATTCAAACAAGCGACCTTTTGGTTGCTGGCCCCAGCGCTCTAACCTCGAGGCTACCTGCCGCCGCATTTCACGTTACCCCATTTCCCTTTCACTGGGCTGCTCTGGCATGGGATGGGGCTGTGCCAGTGTCTGGCTGGCCGGCCTTGACGTTTGGAATTGACCATAGTCTTTGTGAGAGAAACCAACTTTTTTAAATCTATGATATGTGTCAACAAAGACATAGGACATTTAGACATGAACTGATCAGCTATTTTGCTATGCAATATTTGCAGCTATGCAGCATTTCTATTTTTTTATGTCTTGGCTATTTTGAAAGTTTGCTTTGTGCTTATGACTTATGTGCATAAAACTAATGACTCATGCTTGCTCTCTCTTCAGAATGGCGCTGGACATCTATGACTCTCAGTACCTGGTGATCTTGGCCCCCTGCCTGGTCATCGCCCTCATCTTCCTCTTCTTCTGGCTCTTCATGAAGGAGACCTCCTATGACGAGGTGCTGGCCAGGCAGAAACGAGACCTCAAGCTGCCACCCTCCAAACCAGACACCCGCAAGAAGAACGACAAGAAAAAGAGCAAGAAGAAAGAGGGCAGTAGCAGAGGGGATGGAGGAGAGTCTGAGGACGACCTGCGGGACTTTGACGTGGCTGACGCCGTGAGCAGCTTCACCGCTGAGGAGGAGGAGGAGGAGGAGGAGCCTGCCCCTGTGGCTCCGCCCACCCCCGTTCCTGCCCATGTGGCAGCGCCAGCCGAGGCCCCTGCAGGGGTGAGGGAGAGGAAGAAGAAGGAGAAGAAAGCCGTAAAGGCAGCTGCCGCTGCAGCCGCTCCCCCTGCCGAGGAAACTGCGTTGAACGGCTCCAAGCAAGCCAGCCACAAAGCAGAGCCCCCTGCCCCAGTGGTTAAACCCAGTCCCCCCTCACCCCAGCCTGACCCTCAACCCCCAGCCCAGGCTCAGACCCCCCCCCAGTCCTCTGGCAAGAAGAAGAAGGAGAAGAAGCAGAAGACAGAGGCTGGTGAGTAGCAGGCCAGAGTGGCTTTAGTAGGATGAGAGAATGTGTGGTTCACGGTGCGCTTGCCTGTGTCTGCAAACGGGGCTAGCGCCTTCCCCGAGGCCACTAGTTAGTGTCTGAGTGCACATCTATCCTCCCGAATCAAATCGGATTATTTAAAGCCCAGTATGAGAAGGGAGCAGGAGGGAGGGAGTTTGTTACAATGGCCATAACCTCAAAATTCCTTCTACATTTACATTTACGTCATTTAGCAGACGCTCTTATCCAGAGCGACTTACAAATTGGTGCATTCACCATTCATTTTTTTTTAAGGGGGCGGGGGGGTAGAAGGATTACTTTATCCTATAGTCTACACAAATGTATCACAAGGCCATCATAATGGCATCCTTTTTTCCCTCTATCTCTAAAGCCTAATTGTCCTCGTGTTGGTTCCTGTCTAGTGGAAGAAGAGATTAAGGTGGAGAAAGCTCCAGCTCCAGTCAAAAAGGAGGCTCCCGTGCCCGTGGAAACGAAAGCCCAGGATGGTGCTGCCCCCCCAGCCACCACCTCAACCAGTGGCAAAAAAAAGAACTCTGCCAAGAAGCAGAAGACTGAGCATAGTAAGGATGATGAAGACTTACTGATACTGCTGTGTAATCAGAGCAGGTTCAGAGACATTGTTCGAAGCTGCTAGCAGAAAGCAAAACAAATTTTACTCTGCCTATTTTTTAAAATTAAATCCTTGGGCCCACTATCTCAATTTGTGTGCCTTGGCTGGCCCCAAATATGACAATGTGTTTCGGTCTCCACCAGGCCAAGTGGATGATGTCCAGCCTGACTCTGCAGCTCCTGCTAACCACCATGGTGATGCGCCCTCCAAGGGGAGTGTCAAGAAACAGAAGAACGAGATGGATAAAGGTGAGAAACCTACACTCCAAAATATAGCTACTATACCATGTTTAAAGCTGACATATGAACAATTACATTTTATAAATCTATTTACACTGCACCCTTCTATTCCACTCCGCTGCCATGCAACACTTGTATAACACATCATAGTTCATCCTCTGCATGTATGTGTGTGTATTTGTAGAGAACTCTGAGGTGAAGCTGAAGGAGCTGCTTTTGGGCCTGGGCAGTCTGGCCTTGTCACAGGCAGAGGCTGTCAGTGTGGTCACTGTGCTTAAAGAGAAGAACCCGTCTGCCCTGGACGCTTGGCAGAAGTCTGCAGCTAAGGCTGACCCCTCATCCCTGGAGAGAGAGAGGCTCCTCACCACTCTGCAGGAGGAGGCCTCCATCGCCAAGGACAAGGTCCAGCAGCTCAGCAAGGTGCAGCTATACAGACTCATAATATAACCTGAAGATACCGGTACAATAATACATATCCATTGACTACATCACTGGTTGATTACCTGTGGACTCTGGCCATGGCTGGGTGGCATTTCATTCCAATACTGATCCGCTGCCGTTTCTGCCCTTTCCTGTGTTAGGAGCTGCAGCAGGAGAAGCAGAAGACTGTGAGAGTGGAGGCTGTTCTGAGGGACCAGCGTGGGGCACTGGAGAAGGAGCTGAATGTCATGCAGGCTAAATCCCAGGGAGAGCTCCAGGGCATGCAGATGAAGGTGACCACCATCCACCACTCTGATACCTTTACTAAAACAGGCCAAACCTCAACTTCCATCACCTTTTACTATCATGCTTTATACTCCAACGTCAGTCCTGAGGCAGCATAGACGAGTGTTTGTCTGATGCTGTATGTTCGGTGGTACTGACTCCCAGTGTTGTGTACTCTGTAGTTCCAGAAGCTGAGGGAGCAGCTGGAGGGTCAGATCGCCAGGCTGCAGCAGGAGAACGGCATCCTGAGAGACGCAGTCAGCTCTGCCACCAACCAGATGGAGAGCAAGTGAGTGCCACCTCCCAGCCATCTGTTCCTAGATTGTAAAGATGTTAAGGTCTTTGATTGGTATTGTATCGCACTGTAGGAATACTAGTTGCCTTTGAGGCATGGATGAGTGTGTGGGTTGTAATAGTGGTTGTGGTGTGCATGGCAGGCAGTCGTCGGAGCTGAACCAGCTGCGCTCAGAGTACTCTGGTCTGATGAAGGAGCTGGCGGAGAACAACAACAAGCTGCAGCAGGAGGAGCACCAGAGGAAGTCGCTGGAGGTCAACTACAAGCAGAACGTGTCTCAGCTGGAGGTATGCTGTCTGTCAGGGGAGGGGCCGTGCCTCACACAGGCATCTTATTTAGTTATTCACTAGGCTGCCCAACAGAGATTAAACACAAAGGAATCTCTCCTTCATGGTGAGACCTGGACTGGACTATTTAGGGTTTCTCACTGTAACCATGGGAGGGCCTGTGTGTGTCCGTCCGTCCGTCCTGGGGGGGGGGCTGGGTGGTGTGTAATAGAACAGGGAAGTGGAGGATTGTGTTGGCTCAGGAAGTGGGGCAGTTTGAAGCTTTGTGCTCAGTATAAACACTGCTTCCCTGCAACAGACACCCAGGTCTGCCTTTCCTGTGTTATCACCATAACCACAGTACAGTGAGCGGGATTGTGAGAGGTTGTGTCAGTGTATGTACACTGTTAAAGTGCCAAGTGTTGTGTGTTGTCCCGTGGTCACCAGGCTCAACTGCAGGAAGCTAAGCGCCGCTGGGACGAGCTCCAGAACTACCTCCACAATGTCAACGCAGAGAGGGAGAAACTTCATGCTGCTAAAGAAGGTGATCACAGAGAATCGATAAACAGACCTCTGAAACTCAAGCTAATGCACCACCCATTGTCAATATGTAACAAATGTTACATATGACGAATGTGATATGACTGGGTCTGGTGTCTCTCCTCTCTCAGAGCTGCAGAGCCAGCTGCTGGCGGTGGAGACAGAGATGAGCAACAAGAACAAGGAGATCCAGACGCTGCACAGCAGCCTGACCGACACCATCGTGTCCAAGGACCAGGTGGAGCAGAAGGTGATGCAGCTGCTGGAGGTGTCCCAGCACAGCCTGACTGACAACTCAGCGCAGGTCCAGGTAGGGGAACACAGCCCGTATTGTTGTGATGTGGATAACAATAACACGTTCCCTAGTGTGTACACTCACCAATGATTTACAGTTGACTGTTAAACTTGGATGTTATAGTTATTGTGCCAGGTGTGAACAGGACTTCACACTCAAACCATTCGGAAACAAGGGAGAGGGGTAGTTAAAAAGGGGAAACCGGTTTAGTTGAGAGACTACGGGATAAAACAATACGCTTCTTCTTAAATAGGCCAAATATCTGAAGTATTTTTGTATTTATATTTTTCATATTCTGGTATGCACTGAAAAGAACATCCTTTTTATCCTGACAGGATCTCCTGAATGAAAACAGTGGCCTTCAGGCCCAGATTAAGACTCTGCAGGCCCAGTTGAGCTCACAGGTATGGACCAACATGTTTCACCCTTTAGTTCATCAACAAGAGTTAATGTTTCTATGTATATGTGAGTGTGTTGTGACCACGGTCTTCTCTCCTCTTTCAGGCCTCTACTGTCTCCCACTTTGAGGAGCTCCAGAAGCTGTAAGTGTTTACACGTTTGATATGAATCCCCACCCCACTTGCACATCTGTGTAGCCTGATCCTTGAATGTCCTTCAGTTCCATATAATGTCCTCTTTGACTCTTGTCCCTGTCCTATGGGTTTTGTTGCTGACTGTGTCCAGGCTGGCTGAGAAGGAGCTGCAGAGGAAGAGTCTGGAGGACTCCCTGAATGGCGAGAGGAGCAGTGGCGCCAGCAGGGAAACTAACATGCAGGTACCTACAGTAAAACTCTGTAATACTGTCTAAACCCCCATTATTACACCAGCCCTGTAAAATACGGTCTGTTAACCGGATGGAATGTGTTGAGCTGTAGGAATGCTGCTCACAGTACAGTGGATTGATTTGAGGGCTTACTATAAATGGAATGTATTTCTTTGTGAAGCATAGTAGCTAGTACAGTTATAAAACAGAACTATGATAATCCCTTTGGGCCGCCTTTGTTCATTAAACAAAGTAAATTAGCTGAAAATGGTCATTAGGATAAAGATATCAAACTATTACTGTAGACCTAAATGCATACTGTCAAATTAATAGTGATTTCTACTTTGTATGAGCTGAATGTTGTTGACTCTGGGCTTCCTGCCCTCACCCTCCTCTCTTCTCTCTCCTCCACAGGCCATGCACAATGAGAACATGTCACTGAAGCTAGAGCTCCAGAAACTGCAGACTCAGATCTCTGAACAGGTCAGAAGTGAAACGCCTGTTTTCATAGATGGAACTCCTGCTGTGATCTACCAGTCCCTCAGTATGCATAACTCTCTGACACACCCTCTCCCTCCTCCTCTCCCCATCTAGACTGCTTCTCAGCTGGCCTTGGACCAGTTCCAGAGGAGGTATGTGAGAACGGAGAGCATTAAGACCACACCAGAAAACAATGCTATACTTCACGTTGACCCTGTCTCACTGTGTCTGTCTTTGTGTTGTCCCCCCCCCCCCCCCCACACACACTCACACAGTTTCCAAGAGAGGGAGGAGAACATCAAGACTGTGGAGGACCTGCTGAAGATGGGGCTGATTGAGGTGGCCAATAAGGAGGAGGAATTGAAGGTGAGCAGGGGTCAAGGGTCAGGGGAATGAGCTTGATTAGGTCACCACATATCACCGTTTTGATCGTGCATTGTGTAGACAAAAATTATGTTGAAGTGTTTGAAATCAAATTGCTTTCTCTGTCAGACTGTAAGACAAGAGAATGAGGCTCTGAAACAAGAGATGGAGGCTTTAAAGCAGCAGACTACTGAACAGGTAAGTGTACACACACACACACACACACACTTCTTTCCCACACGGATCTGCTGTGTCTTTTTATTTTGCTAGTCTCAACCCCTTTCCCTCATGGATTCTCCCTCTTTCTTTTATTCCGCTTGTCTTTTCCTACTCTCAGACGATAGTGGACGCACTACAGAGCAAGTAAGTCGATGAAAAGACCACTTTTCCCCGTATTAACTGATATGAAACAGCTTGCCATATTCATGGACAGTTTTGTCGTTCTGTGTTTCAAGGATCCAAGAGAAAGATGAGCAGATTAAGTCAATGGAGGAGAGCCTACAGACAGCACAGGCGAGTGACTCCAGCAATGGGATGACCATTAAGGTGTGTGTTTATAGTCCTATTTTTACACACTCGCTCTCTCCTCCTTCTCTCGCTCTCTCCTCCTTCTCTCGCTCTCTCCTCCTTCTCTCGCTCTCTACTCCTTCTCTCTACTCCTTCTCTCGCCGATCCTCACTCCTTCTCGCTCTCTATTCCTTCTCTCGCTCTCTACTCCTTCTCTCGCTCTCTCCTTCTCTCGCCCTCTCCTCCTCTCGCTCTCTCCTCCCTCTCGCTCTCTTCCTTCTCTCCTCGCTCTCTTCCTTCTCTCCTCGCTCTCTTCCTTCTCTCCTCGCTCTCTTCCTTCTCTCCTCGCTCTCTTCCTTCTCTCCTCGCTCTCTTCCTTCTCTCCTTGCTCTCTCTCTCCTCGCTCTCTTTCCTCGCTCTCTCTCTCCTCGCCTCTCTCTCCTCCTCATCGCTCTCCTCTCCTAGCTCTCCTTCCTACCTCGCTCTCCTCCTCCGCGCGCGGTCTCTCAGCGCTTCTCCTCCCTTGCTCTCTCTATCCTCGCGCTCTCCGCTTCATCGCGACTTCTCTCTCTCCTAGCGCTCTCTCTCTCTCTCCTCGCGCTCTCTCTCTCTCCTCGCGCTCTCTCTCTCTCCTCGCGCTCTCTCTCTCTCCTCGCGCTCTCTCTCCTCGCGCTCTCTCTCCGCTAGCTCGCTCTCTCCTCGCTTCTTTCTCTCCTCGCTCCTCTCTCTCCTCGCTCTCTCTCTCCTCGCTCGCTCTATACTCGCTCGCTCGCTCTTCCTCGCTCGCTCTCTCCTAGCTCTCTCACTCTTCTCGATCTCTCGCCTCATTCTCTCGCTCTCTCCTCCTTCTCTCGCTCTCTCATCATTCTCTCGCTATCTCCTCCCTCTTCCTATCTTTCCTTCTTTACTCGCTCTTCCTTCTCTTCCTAGCGATATATCATCGCGATTCTCCTAGCGCTCTCTCTCCTCCGCTTCTATCCTCGCGCTCTCTCTCCTCGCGCTAAATCTCCTCGCTCTCTCTTGTCCTCGCTCTATCTCTCCGCGATCGCTCTCTATCCCTCACTCTATCTAGAATCGCTATCTATCTCTCTTCGCTCTCTTCTCCTCGCTCTCTCTCTCGCTTCACTCTTCCTCTCGCTCTCTCCTCACTCTCTCCTCCTCGATCACTCGCCTCCTTCTCGCTCTCTCTCCGCCTCGCGCTATCTCTCGCTCTTCTCTCCTCAGGGTTGCTTTCGCCTCTCGCTCCCCCAATCCCCTTATACCTCATCCCTCTCCGCCGTCGCTCTTCTCTGCGCCTCCCTCTCCTCCCGCGATCCCTCTTTCCTCCCTCTGCTCTCTATCTCGCTCGATAGTCTCGCATCGCTCGGCGCCGCCCGAGCGAGACCGGGCGCGCCGCCGAGCGCGCGCAGTAGAGCGCGCGAAGCTGCGAGCGGGCAGCCCCCGGCCCGCGCAGCCCGCGCTCGCTCAGCCAAAGCGGCGCCTCCCACGCCGTCGCCCGCCAAATGGAGCGCGCCTACCAAGCGAGGCCTAACACGCGCTGTCGCATAACACGCTCCTCGAAGACCACTCTATCTCCTCCCACTCTCGCTCCGCCCACTCTCTCTCCTCCACTCTCTCGCCTTTCTCTCCTTTCTCTCCTTTCTTCATTCCTCTCTCTCTCTCCTCACGCTTCTCGCTCCCCTCTTTCTCGCCCCTCCTTTCTCTCATTCTTTCCTCATTCTATTGCCTCCTTCTCGCTCTCTCTCCTTCTCTCTCGCCTCCTTCTCGCTCTCTCCCCCTACTCTATCTCATCTCGCTCTCTCCTCCTTTTCTCTCTCCTCTCGCTCTCTCCTCCGTTTCTCCCCTATCTCTCTCCGCTTTGCTCTCTCCTCTCTCTCTCTTCTTTTCCCCCCCCCCACCCCTTTTCTTTCTCTCCTCCTTTTATCTCTCTCTCTCCTCTCTCCGCTCTTCTCTCGCTTTTCCTCTACACTCCTCCTAGCTCTCTCTCTCCTCGCTATCACTCTCCTCGATCTTCGCTCTCCTCTTCTCTCTCTCTCCTCTCTCTCGCTCTCTCCTTGCTCTCCTCCTTGCTCCCTCTCCTTCTCTCTCTCTCTCCTCCTTCTGTCTCATTTTTTCTCTCTCCTCCTTATGTCTATCTATAACCTCGCTCTCCTCTCATATCATCCTGTCTCTCACTCTCCTCCTCTCTCTCTTTCTCTCTGCCTCTCCTCTCTTCTCCCCTTTTCTTCCTCTCTCTCTCCTCCTTTTCTCACTCCTCCTTCTCTTCCTCTCTCCTCCTTCTCTTCCTCTCTCCTCCCTCGCTCTCTCCTCCCTCGCTCTCTCCTCCCTCGCTCTCTCTTATCTCCTCCGCTCTCTCCTCCTCCTCGCTCTTATATCTCATCCTGCTTATCTCCTCCTCGATCTCTCTCCTCTCTCTCTCTTTATCTCTGCCTATCCTCTATCTCACTCTTTTCCTCTCGATACACTTATATTCCTCTTCTCTCTTCTTTTCTCTCTCATCCTTTATCTTCCTCTCGCCTCCCTTGCGCTTCCTCCTCGCTCTTCCTCCCTCGCCTCTCTCTAATCTCTTGCTCTCTCATCCCTCGCTCTCCTGATCTCCTCCGATCTCTCCTCCTCCTCGCTCTCTCTCTCTCGCGCTCTATGTCCTCCTCCGCTCTCTCATCCTCTCTATTAAGCTTCTGTCTCTCTCCTCCATCTCTATATCCTCTCTCTATTCAGCTTCCTGTCTCTCTCCTCCTCTCTCTATCCTATCCTCCTCTCTCTCATCCTCGCTCTTCCCCAATCACTTTCTATCTCGCGCTCTCTCCTCCTTTTCTCTCTCCTCCCTCAACGATCCCCCCTAGATTCTCGCATCATCCCTACACGCGCTCCTTCCCCTCGCTCTCCTCCCTATCGCTCTCCTCCTCTCGCTCTCCTCCTCTCGCTCTCCTCCCTCTCGAGCTCCTCCCTCGCGAATCTCCTCCCTCTCGCTCTCCTCGCTCTCGCTTCTCCTACGCTCTCGCTCTCCTTAGCTCTCGATCTCCTCCATATCGATATCCTCACTCGCTCTCCTCCCTCTCTTCTCCCTCCTCCCTCTTCTCTCCTCGCTTCTCTATCTCCCTCATGGTCTAGTCTCCCTCCCCTCTCGCTCTTCACTCCTCTGCTCTCTCCTCCGTCTCTTCCTCTCTCCTCCGTCTCTTCCTCTCTCCTCCTTCTCTTCCTCTCTCTTCCTCTCTCCTCCCTCGCTCTCCCCCTCCTCGCTCTCGCTCTCCTCCCTCTCGCTCTCCTCCCTCTCGCTCTCCTCCCTCTCGCTCTCCTCCCTCTCGCTCTCCTCCCTCTCGCTCTCCTCCTCTCGCTCTCCTCCCTCTCGCTCCCTCCCTTCTCGCTCTCCTCCTCGCGCTCTCCTCCTTCCCTCTCCCTATCTCTCCTACCTCTCCCTCTGCTCTCCCCCATCTTTCCCAACCTCCCGCCTTCTCAAACTCCCACATCCTCGCTATCTCACCTCTCGCTCTCCACCTCTCGCCTCTTCTCTTTTCCCCTCTCTCTCCCCCTCTCTCTCATCCTACTCGCTTCTCCCTACTCTCGCTCTCGCGAGGATCCTCCCTTCGCTCTCCTTCACTCTCCTCACTCTCCCTCTCTATCCTCGCTCTCGCTCTCTCCTCGCTCCTTTCTCCTTCTCTCTCCTCCCTCTCTCCTCCTTCTCGCGCTCTCCTCGCTCGCTCTCTCTTTCTCGATTCCGCCTATCTCTACTCATGTTATCTCTCCTCTCTCTCCCTCTCTCGCTCTACTACTGTCTCTCTTCTCGCCTCTCCTCCTTCTGTCTCTCTCTCCTCCCTCTCTTTCTCTCTCCCCTTCTCTTCTCTCTCGCGTCGCGTCTTGCTTCCTTCTCTCTCCCCTTCTCTTCCTCTCTCCTCTCTCTCCTCCCGTCTCTCTCCTCCCTCTCCTCCCGTCTCTCTCTCTCCCGTCTCTCTCCTCCCTCGCTCTCCTCCCTAGCTTTTTCTCCTTCATCGCTCTCTCCCCTCACTTCTCCTCTTCTCTCACTCTACCTTTCTCATCTACTCCCTTCTCTTTCTCTCTTCTAATAATCCTTTTCTCTTACCCTATTTTCTTCTTCCCCTCTTCTGTATCTCTCCTCCCTCTGTTTCCTCTTTCTTTCTCTCCTTCTCTCTTGTCTCCTCGCTCTCTCGCCTCCTCCTTCTCGCTCTTTCGCCTCCTCCTTCTCGCTCTCTCGCCTCTTCCTTCTCGCTCTCTCTCCTCTCCTCCTTTTCTCTCTCCTCGCCTCTCTCATCTCCGCTCCTTCCCTTCTCTCTCCTCTCGCTCTCTCTCTCTCTCCTCTCGCTCTCCTCCTTTTCTCTCTCTTTCATCTTCTCCTTCTCTCTCCTCCTTCTGTCTCCTTTTACTCTCTTACCTTCTATTCCGTCCTTTTCTCGCTTCTCCCCCCTCGCTCGCTCCCCCCCGCTCTCTACATCTCTTCCTCGTATTCCTCCTTATGTACTCTCTACTCCCCCCTCGATCTTCCCCCCCTTCGCTCTCCCTCTCCACCTCTCGCTCTCTCCCCTTCTCTTCCGCTCTCTCCTCCTTATGTCTATACTATCCTCCCTCGCTATTCCCCTCGCTCACTTCTCTCCTCCTTCGCTCCTCCTCCTGTTTCTCTTCTCTTCGCCCTCTCCTCTCTCTCCCTTCTTTCCTCTCCTCTCTCTCCCTCTCTTCTCTCCTCTCCTCTCTTCATCTCTCCTTCCCGCGCCTCTCCCTCCCATCCTCTCCTCCCTCCGCTATACTCCCTTCGCTATTCTCCCGCTCTCTCCTCGCTATCCCACCTCCTCGCCTCTCCTCGCTCTCTCTAGTTAATATCGAGATGGAGAATATATGATACCATACTGCGAGCGTTGGGGTGTGAAGAACGATAGCGATACATAAAGGAGAGAATCAGAAATAGAGAGTCTAAGTAAGCGAGGAGGTCAGCGAGTAAGAAAGATAGAGAGGAGAGATCCGCGCGAGAATAGCTACAGCCAAGCATCGGAAGCACAGATCAAGAGCGGCGCCGAAAGGCGCCCACTGCCAGCCTTCTCACCTCTGCTATCAAAACATCCTCGCTCTCTACCTCCGCGCTATCTAAACCTACTCGAGCTAGGCGACTCTCTCTATATCCTTTCTCTCTCACTCTCTCTCAGACTCTAGCATAGACTACAATACGATTCAGCGATTATACTACTATAGAGTAAGAATCTCCGCTCGAGAAGATGATATCGATAGAGAAGAGAGTTCGCGCTATAATCGCTCTTTTAATAATCTATTATACTCCCTATCTAGAATAATGATCGAAGAGCTAAGTAGAGAGATAGCGTACTCTCGATATGCCAATGTTTATCTCTATTACTCGCTTATAGATATAAGCATGGCAGATAAAGCTCAAGCGAGGCCAGAGAGATTATAGTACGAAGGGCTAGAGCCTGCGATATCAGGTACGCAGTCTGTATCGCTAGACGCCACTCGTCTTTCTCTATCACAATTAGATTCCTCTCTCTCTTCTCGCTATTGCTCATTCTATCTCCCATTCTCTTCCTCTCTCATACTCTCTCCTCAGTCTCTCTACTCCCGTCTCTTCCCCCTCGCTTCCTCCCTAGACTTTCTCCTCCCTCGCTCTCTCCCCTCACTCTCCCTTCCTTTCTCTCACTCTCCCTCCCCTTCTCTTCTCCTTCCTTAATCTCTCTCACTACTCCTTTCTATATTCCCATTTTTTCTATTCCCCTCTTCTGTCATCTCTCCTCCTATGTCTCCTCTTCGTTCTCTCTTCTCTCTTGTCTCCTTCCGATCTCTAGCCTTCATACTTCTCGATTCTTAGAATACTCCTTATAGAGATCTCTACTATACTCATTTCCTCTTCATCGCCTTCCGTCTCTCTCCTCTCGCTCTATCCTCTCTCTCCTCTCGCGCTTCTCTCATCTCGCTCTCTCTCTCTCCTCTCGTCTCACTCCTTTTCTCTCTTTCTCTCTCTCTTTTCTCGCCTCCTTCTGTATCCTTTCTCTATCCCCTTCTATTCCGTCTCCTTTCTCGCTATCCCCTCGCTCTCTCCCTCGCTCTCTCCACCCCCCTATATGGTCGCTTCTCTCACCCCCCCGCTCTCTCCCTTCTCTTCTCTCTCTCTCATGTCTACGCTCCTTCCCCCTCGCTCTCTCCCCCCTCGCTCTCCTCTCCCCCTCGCTCTTCCCCTTCTCTTCCGTCTCTCATCCTTATGTTATCTTACCTCCTCGCTCTATCCAATAGACTTTACTATAATAATTTAGTCACTCTAATGTATCTTTATATATCTGACATTTCTCTACTATATACACTTTCTTCAGATATCCCTCTCATCTCACACTTACTTACTATCTACTCCTTCTCTTCATCTCTAATACTTCTCTTCTCTCTCCTCCCTCGCTCTCTCACATACTCGATCTCATCCCTCTCGATCGAGCCTATCGCTTCTCATAATATAATATATCCTCGCTCTCCCACCCCTCGCTCTCTCCTCCTCTCTTTCTCTCCTACTTTCTCCTCCTCTCCTTTCTCATATACTATCATCCTCCTCTATCATCCGCCTACTCGCTCTCCCCACTCTCCGCTTATCCTCCCTCTCGCTGCTCCTACAGCTCGCTATCCTCCCTTGGCTTAATCCCTCTCACTATATTCATCCCTCTCCCTCTATTACATCCCTATCCTCTCTTACCTCCCTCTCCCCTCTCTCCTCCGCTCTCCCACCTCCTCGCTCTCCCACCTCCTCGCTACTCCCACCTCCTCGCTCTCACCTCTCCCTCTCTCTACTCTCTTCTTTCGCTCTATCTCTCCTCACTCTCTCTATCCTCCTCGCTCTCCTCCCTCTCGCTATCATGCTATCCATCCGTCTCGCTCTCCCTTCTCCCTATCTCTACTCGCTCTCGTATCTCATTGCCTTTTTCCTCTCTCCTCCCTCTCTCTCCTCCTTCTCGCGCTCTCCTCACTCGCTCTCTCTCCTCTCGCTCTCCTCCTTTTCTCTCTCTTCCTCGCTTCATCTCTCTCATATGCGATCTCTCTCCTCCTCCCCTCTCTCGCTCTCCTCCTTTTCTATCTCACATCTATATCTCCGCCGTTCGTCTCTCTCTCCTCCACTCTCGTCTCTCTCCCCTTCTCTTCCTCTCTCTCTTCTCGCTCTTTGATCCTTCTCTCTCTTCCTCTCCTCTCCTAGCCTCATGTATCTCTCCTCCCGCTCTCCCCATAGGCTTTCTCCTCAATCGCTCCTTCCCCTGCTCTATCCCAGCTCACTCTCCCTCCTCCTTCTAACCTCCTTCCTTCTAGCCCTCTCTCCACTTCTTTCTCTCTTCCCATCTTTTCTCTCTCCCTGTTCTGTTATCTCTCCTCCCATGTCTCCTCTTTCTTTATAGCCTTTTCTCGTGTTTCCTTCTCGCTCTCTAGCCTCTCCTTCTCGGCTTTCTCTCGCCTCCTATTCTCGCTCTCTCGCCTCCTCCTTCTCGCTCTCTCGCTCTCTTCTCGCTCTCTAGCCTCCTCCTTCTCGCTTCTCTCTCCTCCTCCTTTTTCGCCTCCTCTCGCTCTCATCTCTCTCCTCCGCTTCCTCTCTCTCTACTCTACGCTCTCTCCTCCTTTTCTCTCTCTTCCTCTCTATCCTACACTTCTCCTTCTCTCTATCCTCTGTCTCCTTTTCTGCACTACCCTTCTCTTCGTATCCTTTTCTCTCTCCCCTTCTCTTATCTCTCGCCTCTCTCGCTCTCCTCTCTCGCTTCTCCCTCTCTCTCCTCTCTCGCTTTCCTCCGCTCCCCTCCCCCTCCTCTCTCCCCTGCTCTATCCCTCCCGCGCTCTCCACTTATCTTCCTCCCTCCTCCTTTGTCTATCTCGCCTCCCCTCGCTCTCTACCCCCTTCGCTTCCTCTCCCCCGCTCTCTCCCCCTCGCTCTCTCCCATTCTCTCCGCCTTCTCCTCATTATGTCTATCTTCCCCCTCGATCTCTCCCACGCGCCTCTCCCTCGATCCTACCCTCGATTTCTCTCCTCCTTCGCTCACTACTCCTGTCTCTTTCTCTCTGACCTCTCTACTCTCTTCCCTTATCTTCCTCTCTCCTCTCTCATCCCCCCTTATATTCTCTATCCTACTTCTCTCTCTCTCCCTCCTCGATCTCCTCCACTCTCGATCAACCATCCCCCCTCTCCTCTCCTCCCCCCGCTATCCAACTCCTCGCTCTATCCTCGCTTCTCTCCTTTCTCCTATCTCTCCTCCATCCTCATACCCCTCCTCGCTCTCCTCGACTCTCCTCCCTCTCGCCTCCCGCTCTCCTCTCTCTCGCTCTACGCTTCCTCCCTATCGCTATCCTCCCTCTCGCTCTCCTCCCCTCTCCCTCTCCCTCCCTCCTATCCTCGCTCTCCACCTCTCGCTCCGCTCCCTCTCTCTTTCTCCTCTCTATCCTCCTGGCTCTCACCATCTAACACTCCTCCCTCTCGCTCATCCTCTACTCCATCTCGCTCTCCTACATCTCCCACCTCCTCGCTCTCTTTCTCTCTCTCTCCTCCTTTCTATCGCTCTCCTCACTCGCCTCGAATCTCTCGCTCTTCCTCCTTTTCTCTCTCCTTACTAGCTCCTCCTCTCATAATGTCTATCTTCCTATCTCCTCCCTCTCTCGCTCTCCTCCTTTTCTCTCTCCTTCTCTCTCTCCTCCTTCTGTCTCTCTCCTTCCTCCCCTCTCTTTCCTCTCTCCTCTTTCTGACTCCTTTCTCTCTCCCCTTCTCTTCCTCTCTCTCTTCTCGCTCTCTGCTCCTTCTCTCCCCTCTCTTCCTCTCTCCTCTCTCTCCTCATGTCGCTCTCCTCCCTAGCTTTCTCCTCCCTCGCTCTCTCCCCTCGCTCTCTCCTCCTTCTCTCACTCCTTCTCCTCCTTCTCTCTCCTCCTTCTGTCTCCTTTTCTCTCTCTGCCTCTCCTCTCTCTCTCCTTCTCTACCTCTCTCTCTCCTCCTCCTTTCTCTCTTCCCCTCTTTTCTCTCTTCCCCTCTTCTGTCTCTCTCCTCCCTCTGTCTCTCCTCTTTCTTTCTCCTTCTCTCTTGTCTCCTCGCTCTCTCGCCTCCTCCTTCTCGCTCTCCTCCCTCTCGCTCTCCTCCCTCTCCTCCCTCTCGCTCTCCTCCCTCTCCTCCCTCTCGCTCTCCTCCTTCTCGCTCTCCTCCTTCTCGCTCTCCTCCTTCTTCTCTCCTAACGCTCTCGCTCGCCTCCCTGTATCTTTATATTCTTCTGTCTCTCTCTACTCCTCTCTCTCCGCCTCTCTCTCCTCCGCTCCCTCTCTCCTCCTTCTGTTCTCTCCCCGCTATCGTCTGCTCGTGTCTCTCTCACTCCTGACTATCTCTACACTCTCTCTGCTCCCGCTCTCATCTCAAACTCCTGTCTCTCTCACCTCCCTAAAGCTCCTCTCCTCTCTATCGCCTAATTCTCGCTCTTCCTCGATAATCTATTCCTCTCTCCTTCTGTTCATCGATGTCCTCCTCTGAACTCTAATTATATCTCTCCCCCTTATCTCTCTCCTAACGCGCTCTTTCTCATGCTCTCATTCACTCTCCCTCTCATGTCTCCCGTCCCTCCTACTCGCTCTCCCCCGTTCTCTCTATTCTCCTGCTATCTCCCCTCTGTCTCTATCATCTGTCCCGCTCTCGCTCTCCCCCCCGTCTCTCATCCTCTTTCCTATCTATCACCCGGCTCTCACCGCTCTACTCTCTCTCTCTCCTCCCGCTATCTCTCCTCCTTCTCTCCTCTCTCTCTCCTCCCGCTCTCTCCTTCTCCTGTCGCTCTCCTCCCTCTCTCTCTCTCCTCCTCCGGTTTCTCTCTCTCTCTCTAAGCTGTATGTCAGCAACATCATCATATGGTACTCTGCATTTTGTTTTGTGATTTTTTTCAATCCCAGATTTGTAACAAATGTGAAAATAACATTTTAATAACATGTTACTCTTTTGGTTCTAGACTGTGCTGTGTTTCCCTGCTGGGTGTTTGATGTGACCCTATGTTGTATGTGTTGTCCCTGCAGTCTCTGGAGCAGCAGGTGGTGGGGCTGGAGCAGCTGAGACAGAAGGAGGCTGAGGACACCACCAGTGCCAGCAACCAGCTCCTAGAACTACAGACACAGTAAGCCTCCTGTCTATCCCTCCACTCTGTCCTACTCGATTACTGCATTGTACCCTGAGAAGTTAGACTAACACACAGTCTCTGTTGCAGGCTTGCTGCTAAGGACCAGGAGATCCAGACACTACAGAGTGAGTTGGAGGCGAGGGCCAAGGAGGTGAGCGACAAGGTGCAGGAGCTACAGCAGCAACAGGTGAGGGAATAGGTGAAAACAGTTCATTGGTCATCTGTACTGGAGAAGGAGAAAAATAATAAGAGTTAAGTAACTGACACACAACTTTTTTCTTGTTATAGCAAACCCACACAGAGGCCCCAAGCCCAGAACTGCTGACAGTGTGAGTCACTGCAATACTTCACAGAATTCCCTTCAGTATACAGTAGGTGTCCCTTGGCATGGGGCTACCCAGCAGCGTTGTGCTTGGTAGTGGTGGTAATGTATGTGTCGTGTTCTGTCCTCCAGATTGGCAGAGAAGGAGAAGCAGGTGTCTGATCTCCAGGGAGAGCTGGCTAAGCTGAGGGAGTCCCTGGAGCTTCACAGGAACAAGAACAACGTAGGTGTCCTGTCCTGTGCTGCAGACAGTCCTGCTGCTTCCCCAGCCCACACCCACACTACCTACCTCTCCAGTCTAGCCCTGAGATACATCTGCAGACCTCATCCTCTATGTGCTCTGCTAAACCAGGGGTTCCAAACCTCTCCTCGGGTACCCCTAGCCATTTTATGGATGTTAACTATTCCAGAGCTAGCACACCTGATTCAACTTGTCAACTAATTATCAAGCCCTTGACTAGGTGAATCAGATTAGTTAGTTCAGGGCTACAACAAAATTGCGAAATGTCTGGGGATCCCATAGGAAAGGTTTGAAAACCACTGCCCTAAACCACACCCCTCAGTGATGTCATCTACCCATGCATCTGCAGTCCTGTGCACCTCTGCTTCATCTGAACAATCTCCCTATACTCATTTTCCCAAGTGGTTAAGTTGCATTTTGTCTGACTATGAATGGAATTAATTAAGCTACTTGAAACTATTCAAGTCAATGATTGATCTACTATTACATTTTAGTTCTGTTAATTTGCAATTCCACGCTTATGTTGGCTTTCTACAATCAAACAGCACAGTTTTTAGGGTAGTCAGTCTACTCTGCTCTGTTCACAAGGAGTGCCTATTCCTGTATCTGCGTGTGAATGCTCCGGGGCATAACAACAGCCTTGTTTTACAGACCAAGACCTACCTTGTTGACTAGCTCTATATTATGTAATTTGGCTTTTCCTGTCTAGGCACATTTGACTTTTTTGGCAGTCAGCTCCAGCTCTCATTCTTCAGATTCTTTCAGTGTCTATCTCAAAGACCTCTACTGAGTGACTAGCTGTTTCACTGTTTGTTTTTGCCAATACAATTTAGTGGCCGATCCTTTTAAAGACTCAATGGTTAGATGGGCAACTCATGTTAAGCTGCGCTTGACACTTAGACTGGTTTACAGGTAAAGTGCAGTGAGGGAGTTCTTTAAACCTAGACTCAGAAACAGCACAGGACAGGACAGCTGTACAGAAAAGCAGAGTAGAGTAGAAAATAGTTTTAGCTAATGGTTCTCTGTTCATCCCTATATGAATTGTGTTTGTGGGTCACTGCATACTTTTCCCTGAGGCTGAACTGAAAGTGGTATCTCTCTGAAACTGACCAGGCGCTTCAGGTGAAAAACTGGAGCGCTATGGAGGCTTTGGCAGCCACTGAGTCAATGCTTCAGGGGAAACTCTGCAAAGTTCTCAAGGTTCGGACCCTGCTTCCAGTCTGCTTCACTCTAGATTGAAAACCTGATTCATCCCCAAACAGCTATTGCCATAATCGACAAGTCAGATTACTCCATTATTCACACAGATACTGCTGCATACTCATTTCTCCCCTCTTTCTGCACTTTGGACCTGTATAATTGGCAGTCTGTCTCCATTAAGCTATTCCCCTCAGGAATTTCAGAAAGACAAATGAATTTTGTCAAATTTTAACACTGCTGTTCTTGAGTTCTGCTTGCTATTCCGCGCTAGAATTTGTTGAAGGACACAATTTGCTTTACTTATACAGTACAGCTATATATAACTACATACATTCCAGTACAAAGTAAAGAAACTGGCATTTGAAAATGAGTGACTGACTCCAGATTTCATGTAGCTTGATGGTCATAATGAGTTTGTGATCCATGATCTTTGATGCTCCTCTCACTTCCTGCCATGTGCTTCCCTCATTTCCTTTCCCCAATCCTGCATGTGTTCCATTATACTTTGTGATGTGTGTATATACTGTCATCAATACAGACATCAGCTGCTAGTGAAATTTTATTCCAAGATTTTCTAAAGAAATTTGATCCTGCAGAATTGCAGTTTGCACATATTCTGGACATCATTTTTAAATCAGTCAACATCATTATTTTGTGTAAAATCATTTTTGAAAATGTGATAAAATAACAAGTGATACTATTGATCACATTCAGAAATCGTGCAGTTTGTGTACACCACCACCTTACTGCATTGACTTATATACTGAACAAAAATATAAACGCAGCATTCCACAATTTCACCGGTTTTACTGAGTTACAGTTCATATAAGGAAATCAATCAATTGAAATAAATTCATTAGGCCCTAATCTATGGATTTCACATGAGAATGGGAATACAGATATGCATCTGTTGGTCACAGATACTGTACCTTAAAAAAAAAAAGGTAGTGGATCAGAAAAACAGTCAGTATCTGGTGTGACCACCATTTTCCTCATGCAGTGCGACACATCTCCTTTGCATAGAGTTGATCAGGCTGTTGATTGTGGCCTGTTGAATGTTGTCCCACTGAGCGAAGTTGCTGGATATTGGCGGGAATTGTAACACGCTGTCGTACATGTCGATCCAGAGCGTCCCAAACATGCTCAAGGTGTGACGTCTGGTGAGTATGCAGGCCATGGAAGAACTGGGACATTTTCAGCTTCCAGGAATTGTGTACAGATCCTTGCGACATGGGGCCGTGCATTGTCATGCTGAAACATGAGGTGATGGCAGTGGATGAATGGCACGACAATAGCCCTCAGGAACTCGTCACGGTATCTCTGTGCATTCAAATTGCCATTGATACGATGCAATTATGTTCGTTGTCCGTAGCTTATGCCTGCCCATACCATAACCCCACCGCCACCATGGGGCACTCTGTTCACAACATTGACATCAGCAAACTGCTCGCCCACACAATGCCGTACATGTGGTCTGCGGTTGTGAGGCCGGTTGGACGTACTGCCAAATTCGCTAAAAAGACGTTGGAGGCGGCTTATGGTAGAGAAATGAACATTAAATTCTCTGGCAACAGCTCTGGTGGACATTCCTGCAGTCAGCATGCCAATTGCACACTCCCTCAAAACTTTAGGTATCTGTGACATTGTATTGTGTGACAAAACTGCAGAAATGCTCACTAACAGGAATGTAAACACATTTGTGCAAATCATTTGAGAGAAATAAGCTTTTTGTGCTTATGGAACATTTCTGGGATCTTTTATTTCAGCTCATGAAATATGGGACCAACATTTTACATGTTGCGTTTATATTTTTGTTCAGTATAGAAACCAGACAGTAATATTGACACAAGCTCCTCTGCTATAGCTGCTGTTAATATCCACCCAGTTGTTTCCTAAGGTTTTTTCTAGTCCTTTTCATCAGTGAGAATATGATCTGCCATGACCCTTTGCTTAGCCATATGTATTTAGGGACCCACCATAGATCATAGACTAACATATTGCTCTCCTACTATAAACAGTTGTGGGTGTTCAGTATATTTTTGCCACAGCTCTAACACCTAGTGACTCCCTTCTCATGTCCATAAAGCAGACGGGGTACATAGTGAACTGATTTTCCCAGCAGCTGCCCTCGCCCATCTTGGTACAGTAAAAAATTGCCATATTTAAGCTGAGTGTTGGAGTTCCTGGACACCTGTTGTGTACGCTCAGGAAAATGCATGCTTATACACAATCCAAAGCATATGTCATAGCATAGATCCCTTTCCCCTTACAACACAAGGTGTTAATGAGAGTAGAGATGAATGTGCCAGCTGTCACTTACAGGATTCACTCCATCGGAGGGTAGATGTGTTATACGGGACATCTCTCCTCCTGAGAGTTTCAAGCCCTGTGCAGCTAGTATGATTAATGGTACCAACAATATGGGTTTTGTTTGGTGGTTCTTCATACTGGAAGCATGTGTGGTGCTCTATGGATGTCTGTCTCTGGGAAGAATGTTAGCTACTTGGGGGCATTACTGCAACGGAATGAATAAGAGTGAATATCATGTTCCTCCTTGAAAGGAGACAAAAAATCAACTTTGTGAACCTTTGGAGAGCAGGGCGAGGTCTAAAGCTTAATGAACTTGTCTCGTGGTTGTGTGTGGCTGCTGAACAGTGGGGGTGTATGAATACTTGCTTGAAGCACTCTAAATAATTGAGCCATTGAAAATGTTAGCTGTTTGTTACACTGGAGTGTCGTGGAGAGGGAGTTGAGCTTGTCACAGGCCATGCTCCTGTATGCACTCTGAGATGGGAGGAGTGAAACCAAGTGAGCAGAGAGGTAGTGATTTGAAGTGTTGGATGTTTGCCTGCACAGTCGTCATACAGGTTCCTGGAATGTGTGTGAGCCCTGAGTGCAGTCCATGTTGAATGTCCCCTTTTCTCTTTCTCTTCTCCTCCTCCCTCTCCTCCTCAGGAGAACCAGAAAGCCCTAGAGACAGCCCAGGCAGAGTGTCGAGATGTTTTGCACAGACTGCTACCCAACGTGCCTCTGCCCACTGAACATGTAAGGTCTCACATACTATGCCATTTAGCAAACACTTTTACCCAAAGCGACTTAGTCATGCATGCATACGTTTTACGTATGGGTGGTCCTGGGAATTGAACCTACTATACTGCCGTTGCAAGCGCCATGCTCTACCAACTGAGCTACAGAGGACCACATGATGTGATATTAAATTCTAAATGAATCTGTTCCACATGGTCTATAGTTGTGTAGCTTCACTACTGTAGTCTTCTGTCTCAGAACCACCAGGAGTGGCTGCAGAGGTTTGAGACTGCAGTGAAAGAGGCCCCAGCAGCAGAGCCCAGCCCTGCCCCTGATGCAGCACCTGAACCAGCTGCAGCTCCAGGGGGCTCAGAGGACACCAAGGTTTCCTTAAAGACTCATATGTTTTAAAATGTCTGAGTACTGCAGTGGAAAGAAGTGTAACCAGGGCTGTTCCTTTCACCAGATATTGGCTGATAAGCTGAAGGAATCGGAAGAGGCCCAGAAGGTTCTACAGAAAGATTGTGAGACGTACAAGAAAGTGTTGGCTGAGACGGTGAGGCGACGCTCTTTATCAGTGTTCTGTAGATAATGTTATAAAGGTGTCATGAGGAGACTGTGAAACTAACCTGTAATACCCTCTACTGTCCACAGGAGGGCATCCTGCAGCGCCTCCAGAGCTGTGTGGAGCAGGAGGAGTCTCGCTGGAAGGTGAAACTGAATCTGTCACAGACAGAGCTGAAAGAGGTGAACACTGAAGAACATTCAATCAAACTCCAATTGTATTTATATTGCCTTTTTAACAATATCAATGGTATGTGTGGTGCAGTGGAGGCTGGTGGGAGGAGCTATAGGAGGACGGGCTCATTGTAAGAATGGAATAAATGGGACAGTATCAAACATATGGAAACCACGTTTGACTCTGTTCCTTTTATTCCATTCCAGCCATTTACAATGAGCCTGTCCTCCTGTAGCTACTCCCACCAGCCTCCAATGGTGTGGTGCTTATGGTCACTCTCCTGCCCTTTCTTTCTTAGATGAGTATGAAAGTGGCAGCACTGGAGCAGGAGGTGGACAGACTGAGCGACGGTGGGGAGTTGGTCAACGTCAGTCCTTCAGTTGAACACTTTACATACCGCTCAGCAATTGTATTATTTTGACTCATTCAATTTAAGTGATTTTCATACATAGGTCAAAATTGGGTGTTTTGTACCTCCATAGTTGAGAAGAGACAAGCAGTACCTTGAGTCTGAGCTGGAGCGAGCAGAGCGCGAGAGCGCCACCTATGGGACGGAGGTCAGCGAGGTGAGCTGACTCGACTTCCTGTCATCTACCGGTCATACTCGGTCATGTCATAGTGGTTATCCATCTATGTAGTCATAGGGGCGGCAGGTAACCTAGCGGTTAAGAGCGTTGGACCAGTAACAAGGCACTTAACCCTAATTACTCTGGGTAAGCGCGTCTGCTAAATGACTCAAATGTAAATGTAGTCATTCCCCTCTGCATTGTTTGTGGGTGGCAGTGTACTTACTATATGTTTATGGAGCATGTCTCTGTTTACTGTTTGTGGTATCCACCATTGTGTTAGTACATGCAACAGTTGGACATTACATTCATACACACAACACACATTTTTCATTGTAGAATGCTCTGTTTTAGAGGGTTAACGAACTTCACACAGTAACTTACAGCACTTCATATTTATCCAGTTTTTCCTGTTAAATCAGTTGTTTCCCCTGGCCCCGGGTCCCACAGCCGCCCAGTTAAAAACATCTCACACTTAATTTCAGTTTTAAAGATCAGTTGACTGAACTGCAGAACAAACTTGATGGCTCTTATACAGAAGCAGTCAGGCAGAAAGAGGAGCTGAATTTGGTAAGCCTTGCTCACCAATATAGGTAGAGCTCCTATAACCTGTGCCTCCTCCCTACTTCACCACCACCACCCAACGTTATCTCTGGGGTCACCACCTGCCTGGAGAATACAGGGTTCTCAATGTCCTTTGGGTGTCATTCCATCTATCTACAACCTCTGGATACAGTAGTGATATAAGCTTAAATGCAACAGGCTAAAGTGTTTTTATATGCATGTGTAAGGTGAGTTTTCTTTGCTTTTTAGGAGGCCGTTAGTTATATTCTTAGTTTAACAATAGACTGGAGTATTAGTATCATAGGTTATAGATGGACCTTCCATACTCGTGAGAGGACAGACTTAAAACACTACTGTTTCCATTCCGCACACTATCCACTATCCCCCTCTATCCACTATCCCCCTCAAACTCCACTCTGGACCTCGAAGCCAGTTCTACTGCGTTTTTTTCATTATTCCCCTATTTTCAGGGACTGATTTAGGTGGGTGCAATTATCAGGGAGAACAGAAAACCAGCAGGCTCCCGACCTCGTAGAGTAAGAGTTGAATATGCCTGCACTATCCCATCAAATCAAATTTTATTTGTCACATACACGTGTTTAGCAGATGTTATAGCGGGTGTAGCGAAATGCTTGTGCTTCTAGCTCCGACAGTGCAATAATATCTAACAAGTAGTATCTAACAATTTCACAACATATACCCAATACACACAGACTTCAGCCCTGCCCCCAGGAGCCTGTTTCGAACCGTCCTCGCCGTGCACTTCACCCCAGCTGCCGTTTGCCATTCTTTTTGTAGGTCACTTGATGTCATCCTACGGTTTTTGAGTGATATTTGAATGAGTTGGCCGTCATCCCGGTCAGTAGAGTCGTTTTCGCCCTCTGCCGGTCTGTAGCTTTGTTGTCCCAAATGTCTGCTGCTTGACCTTGTTCTTATGAACCGCCGTCTTTGACATTTTAAGGATGGAAGCAACCTGACGCTCACTGTATCCCTCTGCCAGTAAAGCCAGAATTGAACCCTTCTTTTCCTCACTCAAAACATTCCTTTTCAACTCTTTTGGCATGGTCAATAGTTATTTTTTGATTAATATTACTTTTGAGGTACTATTAGCACTGTTTTTGCCATCCAGCTGGTCCTATTGCAAGAGGATAGTGATGACCACCGCAGTGGATTTTATACTTTTCCTCGTTAAATAAGATTTGGTTCATGTGATCACCTAATCAGTACCTAATTCAGTAGAATGAGGTGTGCCTGTGTTGGATTCAACAGACACTGGAATGGAATGGCTGTCATACATGTAGAGATGCTGATTTAAGACAAATTTGCAGTGGTCTCTTAATTTTTTCCAGAGCTGTATGGACAAGCAATGACAGAGCAGCATGGACTAAGATACAGTAGAATATTATAGAATAGAATGCAGTATATACATATGAGATGAGTAGTGCAAGATACAGTGGGGAGAACAAGTATTTGATACACTGCCGATTTTGCAGGTTTTCCTACTTACAAAGCATGTAGAGGTCTGTAATTTGTATCATAGGTACACTTCAACTGTGAGAGACGGAATCTAAAACAAAAATCCAGAAAATCACATTGTATGATTTTTAAGTAATTAATTTGCATTTTATTGCATGACATAAGTATTTGATCACCTACCAACCAGTAAGAATTCCAGCTTTACAGACCTGTTCGTTTTTTCTTTAAGAAGCCCTCCTGTTCTTCACTCATTACCTGTATTAACTGCACCTGTTTGAACTCGTTACCTGTATAAAAGACACCTGTCCACACACTCAATCAAACAGACTCCAACCTCTCCACAATGGCCAAGACCAGAGAGCTGTGTAAGGACATCAGGGATAAAATTGTAGACCTGCACAAGGCTGGGATGGGCTACAGGACAATAGGCAAGCAGCTTGGTGAGAAGGCAACAAATGTTGGCGCAATTATTAGAAAATGGAAGAAGTTCAAGATGACGGTCAATCACCCTCGGTCTGGGGCTCCATGCAAGATCTCACCTCGTGGGGGCATCAATGCTCATGAGGAAGGTGAGGGATCAGCCCAGAACTACATGGCAGGACCTGGTCAATGACCTGGTCAATGACCTGAAGAGAGCTGGGACCACAGTCTCAAAGAAAACCATTAGTAACACACAACGCCGTCATGGATTAAAATCCTGCAGCGCACGCAAGGTCCCCCTGCTCAAGCCAGCGTATGTCCAGGCCCGTCTGAAGTTTGCCAATGACCATCTGGATGATCCAGAGGAGGAATGGGAGAAGGTCATGTGGTCTGATGAGACTAAAATAGAGCTTTTTGGTCTGAACTCCACTCGCCGTGTTTGGAGGAAGAAGGATGAGTACAACCCCAAGAACACCATCCCAACCGTGAAGCATGGAGGTGGAAACTGCAAAAGGGGACAGGACGACTGCACCGTATTGAGGGGAGGATGAATGGGGCCATGTATCGCGAGATCTTGGCCAACAACCTCCTTCCCTCAGTAAGAGCATTGAAGATGGGTTGTGGCTGGGTCTTCCAGCATGACAACAACCCGAAACACACAGCCAGGGCAACTAAGGAGTGGCTCCGTAAGAAGCATCTCAAGGTCCTGGAGTGGCCTAGCCAGTCTCCAGACCTCAAACCAATAGAAAATATTTGGAAGGAGCTGAAAGTCCGTATTGCCCAGCGACAGCCCCGAAACCTGAAGGTCTGTATGGAGGAGTGGGCCAAAATCCCTGCTGCAGTGTGTGCAAACCTGGTCAAGACCTACAGGAAACGTATGATCTCTGTAATTGCAAACAAAGGTTTCTGTACCAAATATTAAGTTCTGCTTTTCTGATGTATCAAATACTTATGTCATGCAATAAAATGCAAATTAATTACTTAAAAATCATACAATGTGATTTTCTGGATTTTTGTTTTAGATTCCGTCTCTCACAGTTGAAGTGTACCTATGATATAAATTACAGACCTCTACATGCTTTGTAAGTAGGAAAACCTGCAAAATCGGCAGTGTATCAAATACTTGTTCTCCCCACTGTATGTAAACATTATCAAAGTGACTAGTGTTCCATTTCTTAAAGTGGCCAGTGATTTCAATAGGCAGCAGCAGCCTCTAATGTGCTAGTGATGGCTATTTAACAGTCTGATGGCCTTGAGATAAAAGCTGTTTTTCATTCTCTCGGTCCCAGCTTTGATGCACCTGTACTGACCTCGCCTTCTGGATGTTAGCGGGGTGAACAGGCAGTGGCTCGGGAGGTTGATGTCCTTGATCTTTTTGGCATTCCTGTGACATCGGGTGCTGTATGTGTCTTGCGTTCGGCAGACCGCACCACCCTCTGGAGAGCCCTGCGGTTGGCAGACCGCACCACCCTCTGGAGAGCCCTGCGGTTGCGGGCGGTGCAGTTGCCGTACCAGGCGGTGATACAGCCCGACAGGATGCTCTCAATTGTGCATCTGTAAACGTTTGAGTGTTTTAGGTGCCAAGCCAAATTTCTTCAGCCTCCTGAGGTTGAAGAGGCTCTGTTGCGCCACTGTCTGCGTGGGTGGACCATTTCAGTTTGTCAGTGACGTGTACGCCAAGGAACTTGAAGCTTTCCACCTTCTCCACTGCTGTCCCGTCGATGTGGATAGGGGGGTGCACCCTCTGCTGTTTCCTGAAATCCACGATCATCTCTTTTGTTTTGTTGATGTTGAGTGAGAGGTTATTTAAATTCAATATAACTACCCCTACTGGTCAATAAAACTACCCCTAGGTAAAGGCTTATAGTGGCTTGCTGCTACTCCTGCACAGGCCAATGAGTTTCTTCATGTCGGCCATCTTTGGGGATAAATGTTATGCCTTCAACTGCACGCACACTTTCATAATTTCATCATTCATATGCCTCCACACACAATTGAAACATTTTCAACGTCTGTCTCTTGTCTTGCCACCCTTCTGTCTGTGAATGCCTTCAAGGATACCTAAACATCTGATGGTTTTTCATTTGACAATGCATAATAAAAAATAAAAATAAATATTTGTCAGTGTCTAGCTAAGTATTATTATTGAATACCTAGTTTAGTAGATAACAAAGAGTTGTCATAAGTAGATATAGCTACATGTCTACCTCACCCACTCTAAAAACAGATGTTCGCTTTTTCTTGGTAGAAATATAAAAAATATATAACCTCGTGTATATGCAAATTCCCCCCTCCAAACAGTTTGAGATCAGATTTCACCAGGAGTGGAACAGTCATTGTCATGTGTTGTGTCTCATCTCTGTTGGTGTTTGGTTGCAGCTGAAGACCCAGCTGACTGAGACTCTGTCTAAACTGGAGAGCGAGGAGAGTGAGAGGCAGAAGGTGGCTGGGGATCTCTATAAGGTAAGACAGCCCCTTGTCCCTCAGGATTGGACTACCTTAAGTTTGTTTGGATGTACATTGTTGTTAGAGAAACAGTTTGTCACCAGTCCCAAGTCTAGAATGAAACAACACACTAGGAGCTAGATACACTCTGAACATTTGAATATGTGGATGTGTAGAACACACTTATATTACCTGAAATGTAAGCTTAAATGTTTCTTGTAATTTCCCCCACTCTGCTCCACCTCAGGCCCAGCAGTCTCTGGACCTGATCCAGGAGGAGATCTGCAAAGAGACGGGCCAGGGTGACCTGATAGAGAACAGCAACCTCTCATCACACGTAAGACATATTGGAGAGGGAAGGGGAACTTGTCTGTGGCTGGGTGTAAAAATAAAATAACAACTTTTTTTGTTGTTGTTGGCAGTCACACATATTATCTAGGTAGTGTACATTCATGGTAAAAACAAAGGTAGCTACTAGTAGTTGTAGTATTGATAGTTGGTAGATGTAGTATTGTAGTTGTATATTAAATGTAACCAGTCTTTACCTAGGAGTAGTTTTATTGACCAGTAGGGGTAGTTATATTGAAAGTGACCAGAGGGTGGTAACTAACCTGTCACTATGTCCCTCAGGATGAGATTGACAGGAAGGAGAAGAAGACGGCAGGCCTAAACCAAACTGTGAGGGAACTGCAGCAGCTGCTACAGGCTGTCAACCGGCAACTCACCAAGGGACAGGAGGCGGTACGACATTAGATAACACAGCCATCAAAAGAAGGCTTTCAAATATAGGAATCAATTTACAATAAATGGAGGGTATAACTGGCATGTAAGTCTTCATTGTAACTCTAACGAGGTATTGAACTGTGCTTTCTTGCAGGAATCAGACTCGTCTGAAGTATAGGGAGGGGAGGATGGACCCTCTCTACAGAGACAACCTCTCCACCTCTACCACTCCTCTCCTATCATGCCCTCATCTTCTCCTGCTACACTCCTCGCTTTCCCTTTCACCTGTACTGTAGGCAGCCTTTTGCTGACCCCCTGCCCAGCGCTGACCTATAACCTCTGACCTCCACCTGCTCCTCCTCAGCAGGGTCAGGGATAGACCTGGCTGGGCCCCAGAGGAGAGGGGCTCCCTTAAACTACAAACATGCCGAACACCAAACCAGACCTTACTACTGCAAAGTCCCACCACATTCCTCATGATCCCTACAGTAGCACAGCCAGAGCTAAAGGCATCCTACACATTCAGACTGTGTGGCATACCCCCGTTCAGTACCCCCCTTTTTTCAATGGAACGCTTTGAATACAGACATCCTATTTCCCTGTCTAGTTTTCTTTGTCAAGAGAGCGATGAAGTGGATTCCTAAATTAACTTTGGGTTCTCTGACCTTTTTTAAGTTAAAAAGGACAAATATATTGTTTAAAAAATGTAACTGTTAGGACCTGCTGACTTTACACTACAATTGTTGATCTCTTTGACTCCTGTCCCGACAACTCAAACACGTACTGTACATGTGTTGATTCATGAAACATAGCTACTATACATGCATACTTTGGCTGAGTATTGGGAGGGAGGGCAAGAGGATAGGAGAGGGTCCCAGCATGTCAGACAGGTCACTAAGTAACTCTAACCATGGAGATGCATAGAGGAAGTCTGTAAAATGGAGATGCATAGAGGAAGTCTGTAAGTGCAGCGCTGGTATGAGGGAGGCTGTGGCCCTGCCTCGCTGTGGGAGCAGAACGACAGGTCTACAGAGTTGAGGCTTTTAATCCTTCTGTAACTACTCGAGGAATCCCATATCTGTATTCAACGCTCGCTATATTGTTGGTAATTTCATTAACACTGAATATTTCGTGTTTTTTTTGTAACAGGTGATCGTTAGTAAAAGGGATGCTTGATAAATCTACTTTGTCCTGTGTTTAGTTCTGCTCCTCTTGACTGCACTTTCTTTGCCATACCACACTGTGGGGCACCAATCTCCCAGACCTTATCTCTGCTTTTAAGAGCAAAGACGGGGGCCTAGTTCATTGCAATTTTGTCCATCCTACACTTACAAAATCAACCCCTCAACACATCTAGAAACCACCTTGAAACGTAGTGTACTACTTTGCCTACCCGAGGGTTGAGGGAAGCTTTTATGTCGTTGCTTTCAACAATCGGATACCGCTCAGTTTTTACACTGATGACCAACGTGCTAAGGGGTGCATGACTAATAAGCTGAATAATGTAAGGCTGTGCTCCCCTTTCAAGAAAAAAAACTTGCTGTCATGTGGTGGGAGTAATTTTAGGACACAGGAGGGTATTCGTGTGATTATGGTGTTAGCATGACGCCTAAATTACGGAACGTTCTGGGTGTGACCCGGATTGCCATCAGGATGGCAACAAAACGTTACTCAACAGGTTCCGCACTCTTGCGAAACATTGTGTAACACGTTGAGTCATTATGCTCTAGTTTAGTGGAAGTATGGCTGTTGTGTGGGCTGAAATGGTATAAATAGTTGGAGTTTAGCTATAATTATGACTTTGTGGCTGTGGTAACTAGTGACGACCTGTCATAATGGATCGCCAAGTAGGACACCTGCCCCTTGCTGTTATCTGGAAACTTTACAACTGGAAATTCCATCAGGTTTGTCACTGTAGCCGCTGTACAAGCAATGGATCAGTGAATTCCATGTCCTGGTTTTACCTCCCATTCCCGGTGGAGTTCAACATATTAGGGAGGGAGGGCATCGCATCTCTGGCGCATACTAATGACCATATTCATATACATATTCAGATTATTCGGAGGGGTTGAGTTAAATGCCGAAGACACATTTCGGTTGAATGACTAGGTATCCCCTTCCCTTTCCCATATACTGTAGTTCATGTTTTAAGAATTTGCCTTGAGTGTTTGTTTTCAACTTCTTTACATTAGCTAAGATGGAGAGGAAATACCAGTTCTAAAATGGCATGATCATAGAGGAATTTGTGTGTGAGTCAGAGATAGTAGTACAGTCATTCCTCAGCTCTTGTCACCTGTAAACATGTATGTGGTCCTTCAGGACTGTAGAAGAGTAACAACAGGACTTTTGTTCAGCACAAGGGTCAGGGGAGAAAGCAGCATAGGATCAGCACATTCCAAACATTCTCCCACACTGTCATGCTGCAGTCAGCTGATTATGGGCCTTGGCTGTCATGGAGACCTAGCTAGCGACAAAACAGGTGCAACACCATAACCTCAGCATACCCCTCTCTACCCTGATATGAGACAGGACAGTACATCAGTGCCTCTGTCAAACCCCTTAGATGTAAATAAACATAGTTGCTTCACTTTCCTACGCTGCAGATCTCCAGGAATCCAGTGTCTAGATTCCTCACACACATGCATTGTCCTATGAAGTATATTTCACACTCTGTTTAAATAATGACTCATGTCTGTTCTTGGAAATGTTATGTCCATATGAGAGAGGTAGTCTAAATGAGTTCCATGTGAATGGAACTGTCGCTGAAATAGTACTCTACAATCACATCCCATTCCCACAAACTCTTAACACACATGTACACAGTCTAAGACTGACAGGGAACTTGACCTCTCCTGATGTAGACGATGCTGCAGGGGGAGGGCAGGGAGGGACTAGGAAGGAAAATAGGAGCTTTGTCTTCAATACGTCATCATGGCTCATAAAGTTAGTCACTATTGTGCAATTTGTTGCATTGAGTCTCTGTTCCATGCCTATTACCAAGAAACATCTGACTTTGTATGCACACACACACACACTCAAGCCAGACCCACCTCCACAGAGCAGCTCCCCCTCTGCATCTGCTCCCCATCAGTGTGGTATGTGCTAGAGAGCCTTTGATCCCCCCCACTTTGTGTGTGCGCTTGTGTATGTTTGGGGGGGGGGGGGGGGGGGGGGGGTGTATTGAAAGGGAGTCCCATGGTGCTCTTTTAAACAGACAATACTCTCTCTATGAAATGGGGGACAGACTGTCTCACACAAAAGGGCTGTAAATAGTAATTATACCCCAGGCTGATAAGACTAGCCTGAGGGGAAGAAAGTTGGTGTTTTATAGCACAAGTAGCTTGATCCTAATTTACAGACATAGAGGTTTATCTGTAATAACAGTAGTATTAATGGACTGATATGGAGAGCCATGAACGTAACCAACAAATGCCATGGTTTAAAGTGGGTTGCTGTATTACGTACAGATGGAAAGACAGGATTAGTACATCAAAGTCCTCCCACTATTAGGCCTTAGAGTTGTCAGAACTATTTTTGGTGATGCAAAACATCGCTGTGGTTTTCCTTCACTATCTTTTGTTTTGGTGTTAACTGTTATTGCACTTTTAAACTGAACACCACTTCAAACAGGTTGTAATAGCAGAGTGGAGCACAACACTGAAGGGGGACTCAATTTGCTATTGACAATGGAGAGTTAGGAGGAATGGGGCACTTAACCAAGCAGAGCCTTGTGAAAACAACAGAGACAGCCAAGTGTTGATGAGGAGGGTAGACAGAAGTGTAGAAGTGGCACATTCATTAGAAATGTGTGACAAGACTGGACATATGGGATAGGAGGACCGGAGGGATTTCCTAGTTGAAAATGTGAGATTAATTTAACATTGGTTTGGCTTCTGCCGCTTTCAGCTCAGTAAGACTGATAGTGAATGGCACTGTCCTTTTTTATGACTCATGGGCTTTTGTGTGGTTGTTTTTGCAGGAGGCAGCAGTGTGTGCCATAAAAGGGCACGTTCGACTTTGGGGTGGGGTTCTGGTTGGAGGTGAAAAGGCTAACAAATAGAGGGGGAGAGTGTGTAATATTCCTGCCTTGGAAAGATGAGTGATACAGGCCCATGAAATGTTAGCAACATATACTAAGTTGATTAGTTGTCCACATTTCACCATTGGGTAACAGTGAATCACATTGAAGTGAGGCTAGATGCTTGCTGGAAGGTGTAGGTCAGAGATATTCACTCCTGGACTTAACAGGGAACTTTGCCCCAGCTCCCCCCATTATAAATAGCCAACCAATTGCAGCATTGGCCTGGGTGTCTAATGTATATTTTTGTGAGCATGCAGTTGCTGTGTTATTCACTTGAGGCAGAACTGCTGACTTTGTCTTTGAGCAGAGAGAATGGTCTGATTCGGCCTGTCAGCACTGTGGCCCCCAACAGTTAGTCACAGCAGCCAACAGTATTTGCATCACTCACTCTCAACACAAAACCGAGAGGATATAATTTGTGTCTGCTCCGTTTCATCCTGCATTTAAAATAATGTAATATGTTTAGAAAGCCAGTATGAGGGTTTGCGCTCAGGCTAGAATGAAAAGCGGCCGGTGCGTGGGAGAGAAAATATCTGTAGAGTTCAAAAGGTACTAGCACTCAAAACCATGAAAAGGAATAACCCAAGGAGGCCGAGATGCAAAAAATAATATAATTAATTTAATCCATGCTCAAAAGAATACAAAAAGTGAAAGCGCAAGGTGCTAATCAAAATAAAAAAAGGAACAGAGCATACGTTTCGGCCTTATGCTTCATCAGTGCTGTACAAACAAATTAAGACACGTACGTAAGACACCTGCTGTGCGTTAACAGGCCCAACAGGTGCAAGCTAATAGTTGATTAGAGACTGGCGAATAGGGAGTCAATGCATATTAACAAGGAATATATAGAATAGTATAAAACATAGACGAGTGGGTCCACAAAATAAGAAATTCCTGCATAAGTCGAGTCATTGAGGGGATACTGTCCCACTCATTCCAAATTCACCCTAGTTGATGTTGTCATTGTATGTGTGTAAGGGACACTGCTGTTGTGGATGTGTGGCTCAGGGCTCTGCTCCATACTACCTACCTACCGTGTATTTTGTTGTAAGAATTGTAATATCTTTCCAGTTCTTTCTAGCAAAAAAAGTATATATACACAATTCTGAACAATGAGTAAATGTCTACTTGTTCATTGTTTAAGGTTGTTAGTTATCAGCTGTTTGTATTTTTATATAGTATAATGCAACTAAATTGAGAACTATCAGTGGGGTGGATGGGTAATAGTAATATGAATTTGCATCAGGACACTTCTGGGGGGATTCTGGCAAGACACCGGGAGTGTCGGCTTAGTTCTGGCAGACGAATCGGCCCGATGTACTCTGGGCAGTCATTCAATATGACGTCGGGCCGAGCCCGGCACCCGGATTCGGGCCGATTAAATAAGTCCCGGCGCGCCGGAATAGGGCCGCGTCCTCATTGCTAGCTGGGTCCGCTTACATACACATCCAGGCACGCCTGCCAGCCTTAAAGAATCATACTGCACCGTGCAAGCTATATTAACATAGGAATCCACCTGGACCCCCTGCCCATAATTGGACAGGTTTCATCTGTATCTGTGTAAGTCTGTGAGTTTCGAACGTTCTGTTCTTTCAAAATGATGTGGAAAGTGAATGCTATGATCCCTTTAAGAATTTCCAGATTGTACTCTTTGTTTACATAATAGAAGGTGCGGCCTCATATCTAGCCATGCCCATCATGTGATGTAGTCAAACAAGGGAAGTCTGTTGTCATTTGTCGAATTTCTTTGACAAAAAAAGGTATTATAGAAGTCAAATGATGAACAAGACAATATCCAATCAATATATCAGTATACATCGATAAAGTGTTTGATCAATAAA